AAGGGGGGAGGCTTGTTTCCCCCCTGCTTTTTCGCTCTCTCTCCTCAGCAGGGAAAAGATGGAAAAGTAATCCCTGCTACTTGTAAAAGTTTGTTGGAGTAAGAAGACCCCCTATGCAGTGAATAGAAGAGTCTGTGGATGTACCAAAGAGAACCGAAGCTTCATGAAAAGGACTGAAGTGAGGCAGAGTCCTGGTGGAGATTTGTGACCCTGAGGGAAACCTGTGCTAGAGCAGTGATGACTCAGGTGAGATACGGGATCCGTGTGTGTGTGGATCCATACTGCTGTTAAAGATTTTGTGACCCTGAGAAATCTCATGCTGGAGCGAGACGGCCCATGTGAGATGTTGGGATCCGTGTGTGTGTGGGATCCGTGCCAGACCCATGCCGAGAAGTCTATCAAGGACTGTTCTCCCATGGGGAGGGACCTCCATAGGGAAACAGGGGTGAACTCTTAAGCCATTATCCCCTGTAACCCTGTGGAAGAAGATCCATAGTAAGCAAGTGTCCCCTTGCAAGCCTATGGAAGAAAAACCCTTCGGGACCCGAGTAACCTCCAGCCTTCGGTCTTAGCCCAGGAGAAGAGTAAGCCCAGCCCTGGAAGCCAACACAGAACGAAAAAGAGAGAGAAGAAGTTCCAACTGCAATAAAAGTGCTGCTGCTGCTGAAGATCTGTTACTAGAGGAAGAGAACTGGAACTCCAAAGATACAGAATGAAACTACTTCTTCTCCTTGGACTGTTATAAAAAGGAAAGAAGTATTTCTGTAAATATATTACACTTCAACTTAAATAAAAATTGTTGTAAATATAGTTCTTTAGTTTTTAATTTATTAGTAGTTTTTATTTTACTAATAATAAATGTTTATACTGTTTTCCCCAAATCCTGTCTCTCTTTTGTCTGCAAAAAACCTTCTCTCAACTAGTAGTAATTGTGTGGGGGGTGGAAAGAAAATTGACCAAAAGCAAAACCATGACAGTGGTGAAACAAATCACTGGTGAAATGGTGGAGAAAACTAGATAATACAAGTCTCATTTAAATATGAGTGGCCAGGGCATAATGGATCATTAAACTGGAAAGTGATGATCTGTTGCCCAAAATATGCATTTGTATTGTGTGACACAGAGTTTGTTTTCTTAGCTTTTCTTTTGGATTCTGGGGAGTTGGAAGCTTTAGGAGAAGCTGTGACAGAATTCCTGCTCTGTAGGGCCACGTGAGAGTGGCTGAGCAATTTATCCATCAAAATTGTGGGAGAAATTTGCCCAGGATTCAGGTGGGTCACAGACCTCACTGAGGGTATGTCCTTGTAAAATAAGGGATATATTTATAGCATAGGCATTGGGCTGATGTTGATGATGGAGACTTGACACAGTAAAGTTGGTTGATTGTTTGGATGAGAGCATAGAGGGGATAAATCATATTTGCTACTGGATGCAGATGAATTACATGCAGGGTTGATTAATAAGAGGAAAAAAACCACTATCAAGAATCTACCTCTAAAGAATTCTAAACTTTAATTACTGAATTCTATTTAAGTGCTACATGTATCTTGGTAGATTTTACGTGGCAAGCCTTCTCTTTAACAGTCTTCATAAGTAGAATTTAACTAGTGCATAATAAATACCTGGTGTTGTAACGTGGATTTAGACAGAAATAAAAAGGATCTTGCACTGCTGCCCATTTCCTCACTGGTTACAGCAAGACTCATTCCCAGCTCCCACTGTTGATTCAGAAAACATGGGAATATTTAATGTTTACCTGTGTACGTTTAATTACTGCTTTTTAAAAGATGTAGGGAGCCGATCCTGTTAGAGAGCAACTCCGAATCAGCAGGTTTGGGTTCCCTGTCGCCGTCTGACATCATTTGAGGCAACACAATTAGATTAAAATCTCTTATCTCGGTGTGTTACACATTCACCCACCAATGGTTCCAGTCCTGTTGTTGAGTTTGTGGGGAAAGCACCTCATGAACTCCACGGAATGTTTGTTTTGAAGCCGTCCCATCTTTCTATCAGATCTGGAACGGCATTCCCCGGGGCTCGAGATCCGGGGCATGAAATGTTGACAGCATTCCTGCGCTCCCAGATTTATTATCCCCCCTGAATACTTCGAAGCTGAAGTCGTTTAATGTTTGGTGGAATGCGGAACAGCCAAGCCAGTCCTGCAGTAGATCCCAAAAAACATCTTGATTAAATTAGAGGGGAGGTGGAGGGGAGGAGGGCTGGAACAAAGAGGCCGTTGAGGAGCTGGCACGGGGTGCTGGGAATTTATGTGGCAGCAACCTACAGCTCGGCACATGGTGCAGATCCACCCTGGTGTAACAAAGGAGCAGTGTGCATGTGTGTGTGTGTGTGTGTGTATGTGTGTGTTTGTGCACACACGCTCAGAGCAGCTTCTCTGGGCTGCAGGAAAGGCTCGAGAAGGGCGATTGGAGAGGAACGTGCTGAGGACGCAGCTTTGCACTTGCTGTCACCAGCCCGAAATGACTCCCTTGGGTGCTGGTGATGGTTTTCCCGATTTTCAGGGACGGGGCAAGGCTGTGGTTGTCAGCACCCATTGCACACCCTGGCACACAGCACAGGTGAGGAGGTGCTGGTGCCTCGCTCTCCCAGTCTCAGGTGTGTGATGGGCTCCTGTGCTGTGCCGGGTTCCAGGAGCATCAGTGATGATCCAACGAGATCATCTCCCAGATCGAGAGGAAGAGGGTTGAGCCCTGATGGGATAAGGAGACAAGGTTTGTGGGGACCTCCCCTCCCCACACACAGTTTATTAGTAGAGCCAGTTTGATAAGAGTTGTTGCACAAGCCCTTTAAGGGAGGTGCAGATAGACTCTGGTTGTAGCTACAGCCAGATATGAATAAATAATAATAAAACTGATCAGATTTGCCTTCATTTATTGCTTTTTCCTGGAAGGTTGTTTACAAACAGCCTTATTTTAAGCTCTGTCTGCCTTTGCAAAACATACAGAATAACAGAGAACAACATAGAATTTGATGCTGAAATAGAAATTGATACCTGGAGACACTGGCAACTGCAAAGACTGTTGGTTCTGCTTTCTTGACACGCATTTTCCTTGTAATTCCATGCCGCATTCTGCCATGATCCTGGAATCTCTCATGCCTGTATGACAAGGGTTGGGATCAGCAGCCTTGAATCTGGCTGCACTTGGAACTCCAAGGGAAGTCAGGGAAGTTCTCTTTGTGCATCTCCTTCACCTGCCTCTGGAGCAACAACTTCTTTCCCATTTTCTTCTGACTTTCCCAAGCGAACCCTTCTGCTTCCTCCAATGTATTTTCATTTATCAGGGTCAGCCAGCTCAGCTTTTTTTCCTCCTAAACCTTTTTTTTTTCTTTTTTTTTTTGGTGGAATCAGTGCAGGGAACAGCATTACATTAACAGTGCTCATCACATAGCTCTTGTGTTCATGGCACCTATGATCTATCTCACCTTCATCTTAATGGAAGGGTTTTTTCCAGTCCAGCAATCTAGCAGCTTCTTTCTTGATTGCTCATTTGGAAGCACAAAGAGTTTTGTGTTTTGACAGTTTGGCACTTGTGTGTGTCTCCTTTTCTTCTTCAACCCGAACGTACATTAAAATATTCATTTTAATCTATTTCGCATAATTGATGCTTCAGCAGTTTGTGCAGTGAATGAGCAATTTTATGCAAGAAATAAGCAAATGGGCTGAAAAGAGCCTGGTGAAAGGCAGATGATTGGGCCAGTCCAGGCAGTTTCACCAGCACAGTGGAGCGTGTTGCTCAAAAGCTCCTTCTGTGTGAAAAGTTCAGTGCTCAGGGCGTTTAAAACAGACCCAGCCAGTCACTTCCATTAATCATCTCCACGCTGAGGAAAAGGCAGTCAGAAAACCCTTGTGACCCACATCACTGCAGGGATGAGCAGCAGCTTCAGCTTTTTTCCTGCTTTCAGAGATGGAAAAAACTGTAGGTTCGTTGCTGCGAATCCCTTGGGGATTGGGAATCACCAGCTTCTTGCTTTTCCTTAGATTAAAGACTCCTCAGAAAAAGCAGGATGCTTTCCTTTGTCAGCATTTGTGTCAGATGCCTTTTTTTATTTTTTTTTTTTCCAGTAGCACCTGGGGAGCAGGGTTAGGAACGTGGGACTGGAATGTGTGGAAAATGGAAAGGATTGGACCTTGGGTGCTTGTGCATCCCATTGTGCTGCCAACAGTGCAGGGCCAGGCTGGTCTGAACCACAGAGCCCATAAACAGCCTGGGATAAAACAGCTGTCATCTCAGAAACACACTCTGAGCACTGCTGAACTGGGCAGTATTCAGAAGAGAATAATTTAGATTTAAATTATATGAGCTCTCCCTTTTGGCTTTTAGATTTATCAGTATGTGTTTTTTTTTTTTTTTTTCTCACAGCTTAACACTATCTTGACTTCCAAGGCAGAAATGTTGGTTTAAGTGAGGGCTTGTCTGCTCTGCCTCTTTATCTTTTTCTTTTCCTGAACTTTGTAGGCATAAATAATCTTGAACTTATCAAATTTGCTGCCCCAGTAGATATTAAACACTTCCAACACGCAGAGCATGAAGGTTCAGTCACGCAAACACTGCCTTAGTGGGTAGTGAGTGAGTAAAATGTCTAAACTGAGTAATATTCTTGTTACGTGCTGACTTCTTTACCCTGCATTTCTTCAGCTTCCATACCAAGCTGTCCTATATCCATAGTCTTGCCTGATCCTGCTAAAATTACCGAGTCTGTGTTTTTCCAGGCATGAACTTTGAAAACCCCCAGTTCTCTGGCCATTTCCATCTCCACACAGCAAAGCTTTTCTTTCTGTGCTTATATAACATTTCAGTTTATTAACACTCTTGGTGCAGTGTGACCCTAAGTGGCTCTGGGCTGGGCAGTTGTTGGATTTGCCAGCATAAGTAGTGGTGCTTAACTGGGCCTAAATTATTTGTAGATGCTCCACGTTCACTTCCTCTGCCTCTTTTCCATCTTCCCCAACTCACTTTCGTTTCTCTCTTTCGTTGCAGAGCAAGGAAGTGGGATTGCAGCTCCAGGAAGACTTGATGAAGGTCCTGAATGAACTCTACACGGTAAATCAAACTGATTTCTTGGCACCTCTTCAGGCACAAGGAAGTGTTTGGGTTCTCCCACCGACACCGATAAACATCCGCAGTCCCTGCGGTTTGAAGGCACCTCGTGTTCACCACCTACCAAGCACCATAAATCCCACTTTTTCCCTCTGCCCTGGTGTTGTTTCAGCTCTGTGAGTGCTTGCTCCACGAAGATCACACCTCCTGCTTCGCTGCAGTGATGGTTTTAAGTTAAGAATTGAGTCAGAGATAGTGGAATTATTTGCAAATAGGCTTCAGTGGGGGGACCCACTGTGTGTGTGTTTCATCCTCAACCCTCAGCAAAGCAGTTCCCCTTAGAGTAACAGAGTTTTCCATCTTTTTGCATCTCAGTAAATCCACTGGAGGCACCCAGGAAGGGGCACTGCCTCAGGAAGGAGGAGGAATGTGTTCCTAGTTCATATGCTGCGTGGGGGTTTTTCTTCTCACATTGATAAATGGGAAATCCTGTTGTTGCTTGACGAGATTTTTTGCTTTCTGCAGCTGTTACTGAGCTAGTTCTCTTTTAAAAGCAGAACTTACCCGTGGTTTAGTTGCTCAGAATGTCTTTTATTTTGTCCTTCCTTAATGATACGCTGGGTCATGACTCGGAGACACAAGTTCTGTCCTTCCTTCTTTCAAAAGATGATCCAGGGGGGTTCCTCAAGCCGTGGCATGTCAACCCTGTGATGAAATTCAGTAAAAATAATAATGGTACAGTGTTTCAGGGGTATCCCTGAAATTTCCCATATCAGTAAAACGTATAGAGGGAGTAGTTCAATTAAAATTTATTACAGTTACATTGAAGCCAAATATTCAGAGTAATCAACACTGCCTACTCCAGAAATTATTTTCTATTTGAGGGCATCATCTGGCTTGATGATCTTGGAGGTCTTTTCCAGCCTAAAATCACGATGTGACTCTGCACCCAAAGCACTGGCAGAATCCCTGTTTTCAGGCAAAACGGACAGGGGAGGATTCTTTGCTTTCCCCGTGCCAGCAAAACACAGAGGATTTCACAGCCTGGAATTTCTCTTGCCCTGAGCTGTCCCGTGCTGTGCCCTCAGCAGGCTCCAGTGAGTCACCAGTGACCCCAGTAGCAGACTGGGGTGGGCAGAGCCCGTGGCTGCCAACGTGGGTTGAAACCATTCAGCTGCCCATTTCTTCTCCTGCTTCTCTTGCTCTCTGCCAGTTCCACTCTCGGTGACGGAGGAGAAGAAACCACTTTGAATCTATTATTATAAATGCCTGCTTTATAGTCTGAGCATATGCAGGAGCTGGGAGTGCATGTGTGTAAATTATTCAGCACGTCTCTCCAACACTGGCTGCATTCACATTCCCTTTCATGTTTAAATCCAGTGTCTCTTTGTATCTGGGAACCTTTGCTGATCACTGCAGAGGCAGAGATTGCGTCCTACTTACGTAAAACTGTCATGTTATGGTGCAAAATAGGTATAAACAGATTTTCCTCTGAAATAAAGACCCCACTTGCATAGAAAATTTGATTTATTTGGGGTGACTTTATGCAACTGTGCTTTTTTTTTTTTTCTTTTTGTTTCTTTTGCCCCCTGCGAGAGTTACATCATAATGTTTGTTTTGGTGTGTGCTTCAAATTGCTTTGCATTTCTGGATAAAGAACTAGTTTATGTATCGTGCCCTTTGGTTTTTTAGATCCTTTTCCTCAGCACAAAGCTAGATGTTACTATCCTGTGAAACAAATGGGCTTTTTGTGACTTTGGGGGATATTTATCTATACTTAGTTATAAAAAATGTGCTATAATACAGGTTGTCCACATAGTACAGAGTGCAGGTCCCCCTAAACAAAAAAACAACACTCTTTTATTAATATTTTTATTACATAAGGTGGACAGAAGTACTTTTATGTAGCAAATTCGATATAAACAAATGGAACCTGGGTTGCTTTTGCAGCCATTGTGTTCAGACAGGATTTACATACAGTTCCTGGAGACTTGTGATGTTTAAAGGACTAATTCATCCAGATGAAAGACTGATAGGCATCCCTTTGGAAAACTTACCTGCTGATGAAAAGCTCTCATTTTCCAACGCTGGCATATCATTTTCTTTGAATAGTAAAGGAGGCTGGATTGAGTCTGGATCTTTTTTTGGATCTCATGCCTCCTTTATTGGATTGTACAAGAAGGCACATGCCAAAGTTAAACAAAGAAACAGCTGCAAAATAATCCACTTTGATTTCAGATTCATTTTTAGAGCCACACTCGTTCGTGGCACCTTCTGTCCTGCTTTCCCGGAGGGGGAAATTTCCCTGAGTTATTTTTCCAGTTCGGATTATTTCAGGTTTAACAATCGGCTCTGACTGTCGGCCCTCGCCTCTCTGCAGGTTATGAAAACCTACCACATGTACAATGCTGACAGCATCAGCGCCCAGAGCAAGCTGAAGGAGGCAGAGAAGCAGGAGGAGAAGCAGATTGGGAAGTCAGTGAAACAAGAGGACAAGCAGACCCCGCGCTCCCCCGACTCGACGTCCAACGTCAAGTTTGAAGAGAAACACGTGCGGCGAAGCTCTGTCAAAAAAATAGAGAAAATGAAGGAGAAGGTACCTGCGTGGCAGTGCTGCTGCTTGTGTAGAGGGGGGATTTTTGCAGTAGATCATCAAATGCCAATCTCATTTATTTTTGCCATTTTAAGCGCTCGGATTAAGGAAAGGCCAAAGCTTGCACCGAGTGTCCTTTAGGAGAATCCCAAGTGCATTTTGTGTTATCCCAGGTAATGCAGGCGTGGCACAAAAAGGTTAAACAGAGTGTAAAAGTAACTGGAAGTCCTGGTTAACGTGTATTTTTTCTTGAACAAAGCACAAGACCTGTGATAGGAGGCAGTCAAGTAATCCCAGACTGGCTTTGTGGGCAGAGCCAGTTGCCTCAGTAATCAGTCAGTTTGAAGTCAGTCTAAGGTTAGTTAGTCACTAGTTGACCAGTTCAGCTCTAAGGTTCAAGCCAATAGGAAGGGGAAGAGTTATTTTTTAATGGTTTTAGGCTCTGGAAGGACCAAGTTCAAGCCTAGCTTCTGTTGGAAGAGGTGGGGTGCTGGCAGCAGCCCTCAGAGTACCTGTGGTCTTCTTGTAGTGCTGGAGCTGGGCCATAAATAACCTCATAAACCCACCTTGTCCCTTCATCCTCTCCTTAATCTTCCCCAGCCCACAGCCTCAAGAGAAGGCTTTCAATCCAGAGCTGCCTAGTGCAGTAATGCTTAAAAGCATCTGAATATTTAACCTACATTTGAAGTCTTGGAGTCTTGATAAAACTGGAATTCAAATGGACAAAAACTGTGTGAGCAGAGCAGGGCTTGTTCAGTATCCTGAATGCTGCTGCACCTCTTTTAATGCTGTATTCTCTTTTTCTTTCTCTTTTAGCGCCAAGCAAAGTACACAGAAAACAGGCTGAAGGCAATTAAGGCAAGAAATGAGTATCTGCTGGCCCTGGAAGCCACCAATGCCTCGGTGTTCAAGTATTACATCCACGACCTGTCTGATCTCATTGATGTAAGTGCTGCTGCTCGGGGGCCTGCACTGGGTATCACTGCCATGAGCCCTCACACCTTCCCCTCCTCCTTCAGCATCTTCTGCACCAGCACAGCTGGAAACCCCTGCCCAGCTGTGCAGGGACAGGCTGGGATGGGCAGCTTGGGGGGTGGCCACAACCCTGGTGTTTGTTCACAAAGCTGTGACATGAGCTTTTCTTGGATGGCCAGCTCGGTTTGTTGCACGGGGAGACAAGAAACGTGGCTCTGAAAAAGAAAAGGGGTTGCTTGGTTGAAATGAAACCCAGCTTTGGTGTCGTACTGTTGCCTGACATTTTCTGTTTGCTATTTTAAGCAAACCCGCAAGATTTTAACTCTGAAGCACATTTTGGAAAAAAAAAAAAAAAGGATTCTGAACTGTAGAAACAGTAGAAGAAATTTGGGGGGGAAAAAATGAGAGTTCAGAAGCATTTCCTGAAGTTGCTTTTAACTAGTTCTGAAAAACTCAGAGAACCATAGAATATCCTGAGTTGGGAGGAACCCTCAAGGATCATTGAATCCAAATCCCAGCCCAGCTGGGAATCCTGAGCTCCTCACAGGGATGTAACTCCCCCCTTCAGGCTGCAGAGCTCAAGCACCGAACAGGCTGTGTCTGGGTCACTCTTGCTGGATCCAGTTCCATTTCCAAGGCCATCCCAGTGCTGTCACTGCTGGAAACACTCGGCTGCAAAGCCTGGAGGGAGCTGCAGCAGGAGCAGGGAGTAATGAACACAAGTGTCTCTCTAGACACAGGCAATAAAGAGCACTCAGATCACAATTAATTACTCAGCTATTATAATAACTAACAGTCTATATAATACATTTATTCAGCCGATGATAAACTCGCCTGGAGTGCTCTTGTGCCAGGTGTTGATTTTAAACCTGTCCTTTGGAGGTCAGGGCTGTCAATGAGAGTGGGCTTGAAAAATACTGTTATTTCCAGATGTCATCATTTGCAGAATTGCTGCGCTGAAGAGGCCTGGATTGTTTATTCCTGCTGCCTTTTTAGGAGACCTGTTTTGGTTAACGTTTGCTCAACCTTAATTGTGCGGTCTCAGGGTTTTTTTTTTAACAAATGATAACTTTTTGTGCATATTTACGTTGAAAAGTTGGTTGGGATTCACTTCCCTGCCCTCAGCCTAATTCAGTTATCTCAGTTTTTACTTTTACAACCCATCTGTAAGTCCTCCCCCAAATGCTGCACGTGTTCTTGGTTCATTTTTCTGCTCTCAGGCCCTTCTCAGGGTATTTTCACGGATCATACAGAGTGAAGAATCCTTTTGGATTTCATAAGCCCCAAACCAATTTCTAAGCGCAGACCTGAGATGTTTCAAGCAGGACATGACAAATCTGGGTTATCCAGCTTGGAAAGAAGTGCTTCTCTCCCAGTCCCAGCTGTCTCAGGGCCGTGGCAGGCAGTGCTGCAAGACAGGGAGCCAAACTCCAGCATTCCAGAGATTTGTCACTGTTCCTAGAGAGGAGCCATTGTGCCTCTGGGTGAGTCCATGCCCGTGTTAACCCCCTTGAAGCATTCAGTTTAACACTACATCACAAGTTCTCATCATCTTTAAAATAAAAATATTATCTGTTCTGTTTTCGGGCATGGAAAAATGTGGGACTTGTCTGGGAGCACAGGAGATGGAGCTCAGTTATCTCATTGTCAAGACACAGGGAATATAGATTTATTAATGCCTTTGATCCTGAAGGATTGAAAATTAACAATTATAGCCAGTGATGGTTATCTGAACCGTCTGAATTAAATAAAAAATGTGATTTTCAAGCCAGGCTGTAATACTTTCCCTCAATCTAATCATTTGATCGTATTGAATTTTGAAATATAATATAAAAGTAATCTTCAAAGTTACTTACAAGTAGATTGTGTTAGACCCAACAGCATTAAACTTGTCATGTTTGCACAGCACATTGTGTTCCCTCTCCAGTTGCAGGGAAGGATAACAGGGAGTTAATTCTTCATCAAGAGTTAAGAACAATAAATTGTTCCTGACATAGCCCAGTAGTTTTGAATTTCCTGACTTTGGGGACTGAGGCAGCTCTTTGATGCTAATGAAATATTACAGTAATGGGGAAGTTTGCATTAACTCATATTTATAAAAGGGTCACTAGGACAGGATTTAAAAAAAAAAAAAAAAAGGTAAAAATGTGTGTGTGAGTGACTCCCAGAGCTTACTTTACTCCTCTAGGAATAGTTATTCCATTGCTGTTTACTCCAGGATCCCATCCTTTCCCTTCCAAATGGAAATTGCATTTTAAAACAAAGGGCTTTTTCTCCTTAAATCTCCTGGTTTGGGTCCGTTTGGAAACTGCTCACTGGCAAAGGGTTAATCAGCTGTCGTGTCGGGAAGGGAATTGGAATGAGTTATCGTTAAATTCTTATAAAAAATTGATTTCCTTTGAGAATGATTCCATCAAACATTTATATAACCCAGAAAAGGGACGGCGGGACTGGTACGTTTATAAACACGGAGCGCTGGACTTTAGAAACCTTTCAAGTGGGGGAGTGGGCTGGGAAGTGTTTTCTGTCACTGCCTTCAACAGCAGAAAGCCAAACCACTTTGCTTCGAGGTGGGTGTGACAAATTAACTCCCCTCTGACTTCCCAGTTCCCCCAGTGCTCTCCCCTCCTGCAGCAGGAACTGTGTCCAGTTCTGGTCTCCACAGCTGAAGAAAGACAAGGAGCTACTGGAGGGGCTCCAGCAGGGGCCACAAAGATGATGAGGAGTCTGGGGCATCTGTCTGAGGAGGAGGGACTGTGGGAGCTGGGCCTGGTTAGTCTGGAGAAGGGAAGATGGAGAAATATTTCCAAGGGGTGTCAGGATGGTGCCAGGTCTGTTCAGTGGTGCGCAGTGACAGGATGGGGAGCACGGGCCATAAACTAAAACAGGAGAAGCTCCACCTCAGCATGAAGAAGAATTTCTTTGCATGGAGGGTGGCAGAGCCCAGGAACATCTGGACTCTCCTCTCTGGAGACATTCCAAACCCATCTGGGTGAGTTTCTGTGTCACCTGCTCTGGGTAACCTTGCCTTGGCAGGGGGGTTGGACCGGGTGATCTCCAGAAGTCCCTTCCAACAGCAGCTATTCTTCTGTGATTCTGAGAAAAGGGGTGAGTGCTGCTGTTAAATCTGAGCTGATCCTAATCCTGGCTGGAGCGTTGGCCCAACTCTGCCTTTTCCCCCATCCATGACTGCAGGGAAGCACTGCAGTGTGTGTGCAGTGAGCAGGAGCTGTGAGTGGCTCTTGATCCAAGACTGCCTCCACACGTGCAGATTCTCAATCAGGCCTCTTTTGTTTTGGTGTTTTGTTTTGTTGTTGTTGTGTGTTTTTTTTTTTTTTTTTAATCTTGGCTGGTTTTGTTCTTTCTGATTGAATGTAAAGTCCTTTAATTCTCTGCCTCCAGCCCAACCAGCAACTGCAGCTCTTTTTACAAGGCTCCCCACCTGCCACAGCTTGTTGGCACAAGAACCAGGCATCCAGCAGCACCCGGTGGCAGAAATTCTGTGAAAGCAGGGAATGGTCCAGTAGCCTCTCTCTTCCCTTTCCCACCACCCCTCCTTCTCTTTTTTCCCCTTTTTTTTTCTTTGCTTTTGCACACAATGACAGTGATGAGACCCAAATGATGGGCGAGGAGGAGATTTCATGTGAATTTTGCTTACAGAGCAGCACAGCAATCAAGCAGATGGTCTCTTTCTTTCTTTTTGGATATTCTCCTAGTGTATGTAATCTTGCTTGTAATTCCAAGAAGGTGGGCTCCTTCTTGCTCTCTTAACTCGATGGCTGAAAAACCCGGGCTGTTTCTGATCAGCTAATGAAAAAGTGCCTTTCTCCCCTTCTGAAACATGAAAACTTGGCTCTGCAGCCCTGGTGGAGATGAAGCTGCTTGATTGTATCCCAGTGACATCACCCTGGTGTCAGCCATAGCCAGGAAATTCTTGACCATAACCACTCTCTGCTTCAAAGTTGTTTTTTTTTTTTTTTTGCTCTTCTGTTTCACCCCAGCAGTGAAATCATCCCAACCGAAGGCTGCTTGGCTTTTGGATGACTCTGTTCTCATGCCTGGGATGTCCAGGTCATGTTCCTCCGTCCTGAAGTACACTGAATGAAGCAGTTTTCTGTGTTTTGGGTGGAATTGTCTCGATGCAGATTAACTGTTATGCATGATCCAAATCCTTTGCCTTGTTTCGCCAGTAGTACTTTAGCGCCTTGTTTTCCTCTTCCTTTGAATAATGTTATTTAAGGATTTTTGGAGTGTGTTTGTAGGAATCAGGGCCCCTTAAAGAGAGGCTAGAATTTAGGGGAATACACTGCCATGCTGTTGAACACACCCACTTCTAGGTTACTTTTCTCTAACAGCATGAAATGAATACCTAATGCTCCATGAAAAATCCACAAAACTTTTTAATAGTTTGAGCTGTGCTTGTCTTGGTTATTAATTGTAACATGGTGTAAAATTTGTGTGGCATTATAGGCTGAGGTTCTCTAAGGACCCTCTGCACTGAGTGGGGGATGTGGGACCACTCTGGTACCCAGAAGATGCTGAAATAACTGCAACTTGTTATCTATTTAGACAGCTTCAGGCTTTGGAAATGCTTTGATTTCTGCTCCAGAGTTTCTCCACTTTATTCACGTTGGGGGTTGTGTGTGTTTTTCCAGCAGTGCTGTGACCTGGGGTACCACGCCAGCCTCAACAGAGCCCTCAGGACGTTCCTGTCGGCGGAGCTGAACCTGGAGCAGTCGAAGCACGAGGGGCTGGACGCCATCGAGAACGCCGTGGAGAACCTGGACGCCAACAGCGACAAGCAGAGGCTGATGGAGATGTACAACAACGTCTTCTGCCCCCCCATGAAGTTCGAGTTCCAGCCACACATGGGTGACATGGTCAGTTTGTGTCCCTCCTCCCGCTCTGGCTCTGTAAACGCTCCCAGCTCCGCCTGTTCACTTCCCTTGTCTTGGATAATCGACCCACTCGCTCCAAGGCCGCCTGTTTGGATCTGGGTTTGGGAGGTTCAGGGGAGCCCGAGAAAGGGGAGATGATGTAAAGGTTAAGCAGAGGCTCGTGGTGTGGATGTCTGAATTTTACTGGCTCTTTATGGCTGGCAGGGGCACCGAGGATGAGGATGCTTAATTGGGTTTAATACTAAATGTGAGCAGGATACTCTGTTTCAACCTTTCGTTTAACCTACAAGTTAAATAAATGAATAAATGAAATTAGGTAAATTCCTGCACCCCGAGGCAGAATCTGAAGTTAGAAATTTGAGGGGACAGCATAAAGAATCTTAAATGCTGATTTTTTGATGCATTTGGGTGCGTGATCTCAGAGCCCAAATGCTTTCCAGGGGTGCTCTTTGCATCCTCCCTGTGAGACGAGGCTGTCAGAGGACTTTCGTTTTTGGCACGGCAAATCCCACTCTTTATGGGTTTATCAAGATGTGGTCCCTCAGCTGGGAGCTGTTTAAAGTCGCACAAGCTGAAACCGGTTCTAAATGGGAACACATGTACAGTGTGCTAATTTAGGTCAGTTGGTTGGATTTCTGGATTATCCCCTGAACACTGAGCACAGACTGGAAGGATGGTCTCTTGCAGCCTCTTCTTTCTGTCTGGGAATTACAGTCGCTGCTTCAGGCTCTTCTTTGTCTGTTCCATTTTAAGGGAAACCCTCAGACTGCAAATGACCTTTCCTGGTTTTTTTTGTTTTTGTTTTTGTTTTTTTTTCTGTGCTTTGGTAGTATCCTGTAAGATCGTGGGAAGAAAAAAAAAAGAATTACCTGCAGTCAGTCATTCAGTAACAGCTCCCATTCACTGAATCGTTTATCTTGGTAGTCCTTGAGGCCAAATGAGTATTTATAATGCAGCTGATGGTCTTGTTGCAATAGCCCTGCACGTACCACATTGGATATGTGATGGTGTGTGTGCCTGTGTGATAAAACTCCCATTCCAGTTTCTGCCTTAGGCAGTGAGGTCAGTGTTTTCTTTTAAAAAAGTCCCCCCCACGCAGAGAACCAGAACAAAACTGAAGGGAAAAGCTGCCTCATGCTGTGAAATAAGAGTAATTCTGAGCAGCACGGGGGAGCTCACTGTTCTGGCTTGTGTGACAGGTCCCTAACCTGTTCTTTTTTTTTTTTATTTCAACTCCCCTGAATTTATTAACTGGTGACTTGTGCCTGTTGCTGTGGTGTACAGGTAGTTCAGCTGAGCCAGCTCAGCCCCTTGTACCCCTGCCCCAGGATGCCTGGCTGAAACATTGACCCAAAATCTTCTTGATTTGCCAGGTGATTTAGCCCAGTATCTGTGGTAAAGCACCTTCAGGCTTTCAAAACACACAATGAGCTTGCATCAGTGGAAGCAGCTCGTTCTTTCTGGTTCTTCTGTGATGTTCTCATCCTCTCTCTTGCTCACTGTTCGGTCCACCCAGGAAGGGAACTGCAGTTTGGGAGAACACAGACCCTTTGCCCCTGATTGAAATCCAGGGCTGCAAAGTTTCCAAGTTGAGCACTTTGGAAAATGCTTGTGTGCAATAATCAAATGACTAATTGCAGTGCTCTTGATGATGTGGGGTTTTTCCTAGCCCTCTGAAAGCTGTGCTGTTTCCCTTGCAGGAGTCCCAGCTCTGTGCCCAGCAGCCGGTCCAGAGCGAGCTGGTGCAGCGGTGTCAGCAGTTGCAGTCCAGGCTATCTACGCTGAAGATTGAAAATGAAGAGGTCAGTTAATCAACCAGAAATCAACAACCCCTCTTACCCACTTGCAGTCCGTACTGGGGGACTAGCTGTGGCAGAATCTAGCTGCTGTGATCCTCTTTTCTGAAGACTTGTGTTGAAATTCAAGACGGAGGCAGCCGAGGCCAGCAGTTCATTAGTGTTTGTGATCTCACATGGAAGTTGGGGGTGTGGAGAGGATCCTTTCAAATACCTCCATGGGTCTTTCTTCCCGTCCTTCATCTGATAAGACTTGGCTGTGTTGCAAAAGTTGCCTTTGGATAGCTGAGGGAAAAAGAGGAACTTGATGTTTTGAAGTGAAGACAGTGAATTTGCATAACCTGGGGAAAGAGTGATTTTTGCTTAATTGGTCACCTAAGATGAGAAGACTGCATCAGTGGTGTGGCCTATCTCTGCACCTCTGTGTTCAACAACTTCTAATCCTCCTTGGGTAAAATTTGCAACTCCTTTATGTTTAGGAAGTTGATTCAGATTTACCTTCAGTAAAAACGAAAAGTGCAGTGAAGTCCTGGTTGTAACATTTAACATTTGATTCCCAGTAGATGCAGTTACAGAGGGCAATTAGATCATCTTTGTTCCACGCTCTTTGCTTTGAGGTTAAGTGTCTTTACATCTGCTTCTGATGCCAGCCTGTAAGATCACAGCTGATTTCCTGCTCCTGGCAGGTTCTTGTGTGCTGCTGCCAGCCCTTGTGTGCTGTTAATGAGCAAAACTTACACCTTAATTATGTCAGGACGTGAAACCAGTAATATCTGTTTGTTACTTAAGTGCTCCAGGGCAGTTGCTGCCTCTCTTGTTTGCATACAACGTGCTGTCCTCGCTTTAAAGTTCTCTCCTCCTTGCTGGGCAGGTTAAGAAGACGATGGAAGCCACACTCCAGACAATCCAGGACATCGTCACGATAGAGGACTTTGATGTCTCTGACTGTTTCCAGTACAGCAACTCCATGGAGTCTGTGAAATCCACTGTCTCAGAGACGTTCATGAGCAAGCCCAGCATTGCCAAGAGACGGGCGAACCAGCAGGAGACAGAGCAGTTCTACTTCACGGTAAGGGGCTCGTTTTTAGGAGCTTGGGAATTTTTTTCTTGCCCAGAGAAGCTCTCCAAGGTCAGGTTGGAGCAACCTGGGCTAGTGGAAGGTGCCCCTGCCCGTGGCAGGGGGTGGAATTGGATGACCTTTAAGGTCCCTTCCAACCCAAACCGTTCTATATTCTGTATTTTCATTGTGATTTATTTAGAGTTATACTCACAAGAGAGTGCAAAATGACGCTCTGGTCTTACCAAAAACACTTCTGTCATTGATTTTGGGCAAGCAGAGGAAGCACGTTGGGTTTTTTAAACGTGGGCTTTCAATTCTCTACGAATATATTGGGATACCTTTGTCGATGCAAACGCGGTCAGTGGATAAATAGTGTAAAATTTGATTTCTTCTGCATCTGAAAAGGAATTGTCTGAGAAAGAACTTAATAGCTTGTAAATATCAATTTTCAAAATTAATAGGAGCTAAAAGGATGTTTAGCTCTTTCATTTTTTTGTTATTATCATCTTATGATTCCAGCTCACAGCTTTGCACTAAATCAGTGCTTTTTACAAGGTGCAAAGAGCTTTTTGATGTTGAATTTCATACCATACTATGTGGGGTTTTTTTCTAAATCAGATTTATGTTAGACTGTTGAATTTGGCTTGGTTTTCAAAATGTATCAGATTAGCAGATGAAAATCACGGCTCTTATCCTGGTTACTTTATCATTCCTTTGGGCACCTTTTGCTGTATGTAATATCCTTCACTTTCTCCTTCCCAGAATTATTAAAAGTCTGAATTTTCTGTGCAGATTGCAGTAGCTGGATGGTTCAGGGTGGTTCATCGGGCCTTGACTTACAAATATTCAAAATCCTTTGTAGAAGGTGAAACTGGCTATTGAGAGAAGTGGGTGGAGAAACAGCTTCAATTAAGAAGGGATTGACCACCCTGCCCAGGGTTATGGAACTAGGAAAGTGATTTTTAATTGAACTCTCAGCATTCCCTCTCTAGAGACGGACTATTGTGAGTTCAAATAGGAGAAGGAACCCAGGGCTTAATTTGGAGGGGATATTTTTCTGTTTCATGGGGTTAGTTAGAGAGACCCTCTTTAACCAGCCTGACCAGATGCTGGATTGATCTGCTATTGACCAGGCTTATAAATATCCCCCATAAAGATTTCAAGCCTTGAATCTCTAAAGAGCAGCTTTTTCAGTGTCTGAGGAAGCGCTCAGATGAGTATTAATGAGGCTGAGGGCAGAGCTGGGTGAGACATTCTCTGTGCAGGGGCTGAAAACAAAAGTGCAGAGCAGAACTGAGATTTAAATCCCCTTTTACCTTATGATGTGCTAAATGCTGAGGGATATGAGCTGTGAGAAAAAGAGTGATTTAAAAGAGTGTTCCATATTAATGTAACTCAGGCTGGAAATTCCATGTAGTGCATTACTAGCTGGGCAGAGCTCTCGGGTAAATACAGTGATGGGAATTTAATTGAAGATACTCACTGTAGTATCTCCACACTGGAATAATATATGTTTCCACTAGAGGCACATCCCTGCACGCTGATGGATCTGTTGTCGGGCTTTGAAGGAAGATTTGTATTCGGAATGGAAGCTTTAAAAGTGCCCTGTGTGAGTGGAAAGCAGAGGAGTGATTGACTTAGCACTGAGCTAATGCAGGTGGCTAAAGCAGGGAAGCAGCAGCGACTTCAGGGAGCCGAAATCCAGGGATGTGGCTGCTGCTGCCATGGATACAGACCTGCTTCCTGGAATTGGAGCTGTCAGAGCTGCTAATCATAACACAGCTGGCACTCGGCCCCACCTGAGGAGTGGAGAGGGGATGAATGATTTAATTCTCTTACCTCGAAAACGGGGGTAATTTTAGTTCTTAGGCTGAATGTTATTTTTTCCCTCTGCAAAGATGAAGAGCCAGAACAATGCTCATTCTGTGAAGTGCTTTAGAATTAATGGGAATTTACTGCTAGCAAACCCTTCAGCCATGGGTCTTAAGTGTGATGTGAAGCCTCCCTGCTGATGAGTCCTGCAGCAGCGTCACGCTGGGTGTGTCACTGTGACTCTGGTGCCGTGGTCAGATCCATCTCCCCCTCTCCTTCAAGTGCCTGGTTCGAAGTTGTTCTTGGAGGGTGTAGAGAGGGAATAAAACTGCTGAGCTATCTGGGCTGGGGGCAGATCAGGGTGTGGGACAGTGGCAGAAATGGGTTTTCTTTTTGGTTGGTTTGCATTTCACTTCTTTCCGCGTCCCACCTGACGACTGGTTCTCCCTGGGAAAATCCTGCAGCGAGGTTGGGCTCGAGGTGCCCAAGGTGCTTGGTTTTCTGGGTGCAAAATGCTCCCCAGCTGTGACTAACAGCAGATCTTCACCTCTTAATTGTCACAGTGCAGATATAACGTGACTTGAGGACGTTTCTGCTGCTTTGTTCTGATTGCACTTAGTGTGGCTCCAGCTGCGCTCTGCCAGAATTGGAATCCTTAGGAGTTGTCCTGTAGCTTGATTATTATTTTTTGTCTGTTTTTATTAAGCCAAAAATCCAGTACTAATGCATCTTTATAATTCACTGAATAAAACCCAAAGCCTTGTTTTAAAATTATGCCTTTTTTTTTTTTTTCCCTAAGCATCCTTGCAACAGGCAGAGCACAGAATGTCAGGCATGAGGAAATAGGAATAAAATCTCATGAGATGCTGCACTGAATAGGAACTTTCTCTTTTTCTCCTTTAAAACATTCCCTGCTACAGTCCCAGGCAGGTGATGTTCTTAACATGACCTGAGCCCAGAGCATTGACAGTCCCAGCGCTGTGGCCCTGCCCTGCCCTGCCCTGCCTGCAGCCACCTTAGGCTGAGCTTAAGTGCTTAGATCTGCTTCAAAGGGGAGCTTAACTCTGCCAAATCAAGTTGATCTGCTGATCTTTAAACTTCTGTTTCAGCTGAGCCTTCCAGCCCTTCCTGTCCCTTCACCCGCCCGTGACTCCCAGACCTCCCAAACCAGATTTATCCTCAACCCCCCCACGTCAGATTCTCTGGTTAATTCTGCAGCTTTTAACTCTTCATGTTTCCCTTCTGCCAAGGTTTGATGTACTGAGCAAAATACAGAGTTAGGGCTTGGTCCTACAGGGTAATTCCAAAAGCAATATGATTAATTTGTTGTCGCAGTGATCACGCTTCCTGTTTTCTTCTAAAACAACAACAAAGAAATTTGAAGTATTAACATAGGAAGGAGGAAATGCTGAGACTCTCCAAAGGGACTTAATTCTTGTGAAATGTTTCTTCCAATGTTGTCAACCGAAGGGACATAAAACACGGGCTTTTGGCAGTTAATTAAAGCCATTTTTGTTTGTTGTGTCAGTGCACAGCACGGCTGGAGACCCCTCAGGGGAAACTTCGTTGGTTCCTGGAAGGTTTTCCCTTACCCTCAGTACTGACAGGGTTTGTGTGTATATATATATATATATTTATGTATATATTTCTTCTTGGTCCTTTACATCCTGCATACAGGCTGCTGTTGTGACCTGCAAAGGACAAGCAAGGGCCAGGCACTCTTGTTGCTAAAAATACTCTTTTTTTACCTTAAATATTTGCAGTTTAATTTGGCAATCCTAGGCCAGAACTGGGAGAAAGTGGATAGAATTGGGACAAGCCAGTGGGAGTGGAACTGGGTGATCTTTAAGGTCCCTTCCAGCCCAAACCATTTGAAGATTTAATGATAAGAATGCGAACGTTTCGTTATTAAATGAGAATCCTCTCTTTGTGTTGATTTTGCTGGCTGAATTTTTAAAATATCATGGAATGGTTTTAGAATCTCATGATTCCAAAGAATGCTGTGTGATATTGGAAGAATTATGTGCTATCTGTGTGTTTTTCAGTGTAAATATGTCCCAGTTCCAACACGGACAGCTACTGTACAGCGGAGTATTTTATGTGCTGCAGCTCAGTGAAGATAAATAAAAACTGCTCTGAGCTGCAAAAATAAGAGATGAAAGACCTGTAGAAAACCAGCATTTGCAGAGCTGTGAAAAATCAGGAAGCAGTGGGAAAAAAAAAACCCTGAATGATTGTACAATATTTCACCGAGAGAGGAGATCTGAACTTAAATAATACCTTTATTTGTTTTGTCCCGTGGCCCCCCCTGCAACCCTGTGTATCATCCAGCGTGGAGGCAGCCACAGTATTTGACAAGTAAAGTGGGGTGAGGGAGGTTAAGTGAGAGAATAAGCACAGTAGCAGCCTTTTAGTTGTTTAGAACAGATTGCTCATTCAGCTGCATTTCCATTCCCCCCCTGGCTGCAGAGGGATGGGTGACAGCTTCTCTGATGGCTTCAAACATGCCAAACATTCAGCTGATTCCACAGTGGAACAATGGAAATTGCACTGCAGACAGAGGATCATGCAGTCATTAAGGTCGGAAAAAAGACCTCCAAGATCAAGTCCAACCTTTGTTGGCCTCGATATATGGATGGGCTGAATTTCAGACTTGCCCAGAGAGATAAACCAGGACTTGATTCATCCTTTAACTGTAAATTTCGGTGTCATTCTGTACTTGTGTTCAGAATCAAGGGACACGAAGATGCAGTCAGAGACATGAATTGTCTCCTCATGATCCTTTTTCTTTTTCTCACAGAAAATGAAGGAGTATCTGGAAGGCAGGAACCTGATAACGAAGCTCCAAGCCAAGCACGACCTTCTTCAGAAGACCCTGGGAGAAAGTGAGTCTGGGACCCCCATCTCTGCTCCCAGCCAGGCTGTTGCACTTACTGCATTAGTCAGCTGAGAGTGACAGCCCTGGATTAGTGATGCAAAGTGGCCATACTCATGTTTTATGAATTTATTTCCCTGATCTGTATGATGGAGAAGCCCAGTGACCTACATGGCTGCTTGATTAACGGTGAACACGAGATGCTTAATGAATCATTTAAGTGCATCACTTATCGTTGCAGTGGAGCTTGTGCCCACTCCTTCATCCTCTCCCCATTCACACACCTCCTGCTCATCACTTAATGATCTGCACTGGGGCAAACCTTGTGATTTACAGTTTGCTGAGGAGTTTGAGAAGTACTGACAGCCTGGTCAGAAGTTTCAGTTTCGTGGTAGTTTTGCTGCTTCTCACCTCTGTGAGTTCAAACCAAACTAGTGTATGCGAGCCTGGGCTTTTACTGGGAGAATAACAAACAAATTTCAGAGTATTTAAAATATGTTGCCTGTCTAGAGGGCATTAGTCAAGGGGCAGCAGCCAGAACTGAATATGCATTTGCTGTTGGTGTCAGAACAAAGGAAGATTTCTTTCCCTTCATGGTATGGGCAAATCCTGTTGGCCAAAAACACTTAAACTATGCATCCAAGTTTCCATAGAAACATGACTGCCTTGTATTTGCAGAGGAGAAGGTTTTAACAGTCTAAATGTCAGGTCAAAAAAAAAAAATGGTTGCTGGGTTTGTGTGCTGGAGCAGGGCTGGTGGTGTGATGTGTAACTGAGCTGGGCTCCCCACAGTTTATGGTGTGCAAATCTTGTGGATGAAAACTTAACCAGCATGTGGGCTTTGAAGTGCTTTGCTTTCAGTTTAAGAATGCACTATAAAACTAAAATACTTACTGCCACAGTAATTAAGAGTTTCATGTTTATCAGACCCAAACCACTGGAAGGCAAGGGAAGGATGTTCATTGGTTTGAGCCTTATTGCTTAAAGTTGTTCATCTCTTCAGCTGTCCCAGAGAAAGGGTGGGTGAAGCCAAAGTTCTGTGTCCTTAGGGTATTTTTCTTCTGCCTCTAAATATCTCCAGGGGGACACCCGTGCTGCCCCTGTGACTAATCACATTCCTGGATCATAGCTGACCTCTGCATTCCAAGACCTCTTTCCTCTTAACCTGCCTGCCCCCTGAACCCAGCTCAAGCTGTGGTGGAGGAGGAGGGGGGAAAGGAGAGGAAATTAAATGTGATTTCTGTCTTGCCACGTAGATTTAAAGGCTGCTTCTGTTTTCTTCATTTGCTTTGCAAACCAGAGCTTTCTTAGTGGCTCTATGGAGGGACTCAGAGAGGGGTCGGGGAGGGGGAGCTCCAGCAGCCTCTGAAAAAAATCCTTCTGTCCTCTGTGAGATCAAAAGGAGCTGAGAAAGGGAGGTGCATCTCATTTCCAAAACCACATGAGCAGGTTAATGGGACAAGCTGGGGACTGTGCCTAGACTCACCCATAAAATGTCGCTTAATTGGGAAACGGGCAAATAAAATCCCTTTCACGCATCCCCAGAGCACGTTTAGAAGCTTTGCTGAAAAATGTTCCTCCAGCTGCGTGTCTCCAGTGCCTGGAAAATCCAGGGGTTTGTTGTAATTTTTATTCTTCTTTGCCCCATCCTCAGGTGACATTTATTAGTCGTCGTGCAAATTGCCTTAATCTAAAGATGACAAGTTCCAGTAATAAAAATAGCAGCAGTTTTCCTATCTCCAAGTAATTATGTCCCTGCCTACTGTACACATTTGTCACCCTAATGCAGGAGCCCCTTGATGTTGCCACAGCCATGTAATTTCTATATATGAATATTCTATGATGAAAACGGGACAGATGGCTGCAAGTTCTGCTTCAGAATAACATTTTCATGTAAATTATGCACTGTTTTGGCTTTACGTGGGGAGAGAGAAGTGGCTATCAAGATGTGTTCAACTAATTGTCAGCCATCAGCAATTAGCTGTTTCCCTCCTTCATTCTTCCATCTCCCCAGGAGCAGGAAGACAACTGGAGGGAAGGTGGATTTTCAGCTGTTGGGAATCAGTGTGGGTTTCACTGATGATAATCTGTACCAGCAAAGGATCAGGCCTGTGCAATTCCCAACAGCACATCCTCGTTTTCCCTGCCTCTTCCTCCTTGTTGTGATGTTTTAGATGATGCTGCATTAGCAAGTCCTGAGCCTTGGCTGCTTCCTTGCAAACTCAGTGCAAGTTAATGGAATGTTTTTATAAATATGTTTGTGGAAAATACCATTAAACGTCTGTCTCTCAAAATAGCTTAATGCCAGCACGTTCAGTCTGTGGACTAACAAAGCTGGGAATGTTTTCAATCTTCCTAAGGGGCTTTACAAAGCAGGATCTCTTGCCCCACCAATTCCCCTGGGAAGTGGGAGGGAGGGAGAGGTTGGCAAGCCCCGTTTTTTTTGGCAGAACCCAACAATTAGAATGCCCAGGGAGCTGGTTTTCAAAAACAATACTTTCCAGAGACAGGGTCACTGGGCAGCTGTGTTTCCCTGCTGGAGCTGTGCCAGCAGGGATGGGCACTGTCCAGCTCCCAGAGCTGCCCCCTCTGGCACCAGTGGTTCCTCTCCTCCATCTCCTTCCAAAACTGGCTTTACAGAGGTATTGAAAGCATTTTCCCATTCCTCTCTCCTAATGCTGGATTTCTTTGTCTTCCTGACAGGTCAGCGGACTGACTGCGCCCTAGCCAGGTTGGTGTGGCTCGGGGAATTATATTTTTAAGGAAAATCTGATGCAAATTGGTCATTCTAGATCAGTTACCAGCCCAGGACGTGTATCTGTTAGAAAATGATACTTATTTAGAATCGTAAAGTAGAATCCCAGAATGGTTTGGGTTGGAAGGGACCTTAAAAATCATCTCATCCCACTCCCTGCCCTGGGCTGGGACACCTCCCACCATCCCAGGTTACTCCAAGCCCTGTCCAACCTTGAAGAATTCCAGGGATGGGACATGGATTGAGCTAACACAGAAGCAAATTCCTTTTCTTGCCCCAGTGCATTTAATGCAGAACAATTGTGAGGACCCAGAGAATATTTTTCAAACGAAGATTTTTACAACCAAATTCCTATTTCTTTAGGAGAGTTGGGCCCAGGGAGTCTTCAGGGTTTATCCACGTGGTTGGTGCATGGAGTTGAGTAACATAAATTGGGAAACGCTTTATCCCCTTGACCAGCCGTGGAGCTGGAATCCAACAGCACGGAGGTCGGGGAGAATAAACTTCCCATTTATAATTAGGACCAATCACAGAACCATAACTGAGCTTCTGATGGGCTTTTTGTAAAACATAACAAATCTCCATCCCCAAATTGATGGATTCAGGGGGCTCTGCTGGGCATGAGGAGCTGGAGCAGGGGCTGTGCATCATCCTGCCTCGTTAACAAAAGGAAGGTGATTACTACCAGTGTGGAGCCTTTACTAGTGTTCACATTCCTCACAGCAAAGCAAAGCTGACAGGTCCTAATTAGACCCTGACATCTGTAATAATAAAATATTATTCATCATGAAGCAATTTTAAATATCAAAGAACCGTTCCTGCTAATAGTTTAAAGTCGGCCTTATTGTCTGTGACAGCCCGTGGAATCTGATTTTTTTTTTTTTTTTTAATTTTTCATTCAATGTTTTTGATTTTTATGGAAGGAATTTCCCCCAAATTAACACGTTGTACAGTCTTTTTAAAAATCACACTTCTGATCCCCTTATTTATAATTCAGCAGCCATCTGCCCTGGCAGGGAATTGGCTGGAACGATACATTAGGGCCTCTCTGCTATTATCTCTCCGGCTTCATTTTTACAAGAAACTAAAGGAATTTGAAACCCCAGTAATAAATTTTGAGGGGGAATTTGGAAATACTGGCAAAGCAAGGGTTTTTCTTCTTTTTTTTTTCCCTACCATGAATGTCCCCCAACATCAATAAATGAGAGCAGACAGAAGAGGCTTTTAGCCTGCCTGGTGCGTGCTGGTGTTGGAGGGGGTTTTGTGTTATTTATTTATTTGAAATCTTATCAGAACTGTAATAAGGACTCCGCAGTGGCAGCTGTTAAAAGCACAGTGGGAACCAGGCTGCTCCCACCTGCCCTTCCAGAGAGCAGCTCTGTGCAATTTCTATCAAACTTCACCTTCTCCGAGGAGCTCCGCGCCGCGCAATTCCGAACGGTCGGAATTAAAATGTCAAGGGCAGTCCTTTGTCGGAGCTCCCTGGCGTCTGCTTCAGGTTTTTTTAGTGATTTAAAGTCGCTTAAAATCTTCCTGGAGTTCCATAAATTGAACGAGGCTCCTGTCACTATGATTGACTTGGGTGCCTGGCTCCTTCCCTGCTCCGAAATGCGGGTGGTTGGGAATGCGAAAGGAATGAGCTGGTGATAGTGGGGGGATTATCCTGACTGTTGTGTTCTGTTTTTTCCCTCCTGCACCCCCTGGGTGGTTCTGACCCATCAGTGGCAGGCGCAGCTCCACCGTCAGGAAGCAGGTAATTAATATTTCCTTCAGTAACAAGCAGGGCTGTGGCGGGGGGTTGGTGGAAAGCAAATGTTTTTATCCCTCCTTCTCTTCCGTGGGCCTTTTCAGGCTTGTCCAAGTGGTGTCTGCTCGTTCAGTGACTGAAATCACTCAAAAAAAGCCTTGTTTGTTTTCCCTGATAAAATATAAAATTAATTTCACTCCCTTTTCTGACAGACCTGGGAACCAAAAATACCAAACAGCCCCGAGCTGTTGGGACAGCCATGGTTTTGTAGGATTCATGCTGTTGTCTCTTTGTCCCCATTCCCTTTGGTTTCCCTGGAATCCCACTGCAACGCCATTGAACCTGTAACTGCTCACTTGTTGTGCCTTTATGTAATAAAGATTTACTCAGGAAGGCTTTGTGTCCCTGGCTCTGGGGATAATCTGTTGCTTTTTGGTACCCAGTTGAGCTCACATGCGTTTCTTGGAGATAGGGAAAACTCAAAATTATTACTTGTTGATAGTGTGAAGTTAAAATTGGGCTCGGAATTTCAGTTCACACAGCCTGTCTTGGGGTGCTGATTTATTTTGGTTTTTTTTTTTTTCCTCTTCATTTTTACCATCTCTGCATTCTGACTGCCCTTTGAATGTCTCTTTGGGCAGGATTCCTCCCAAGCCATTCCCCTGGTCGTGGAGAGCTGCATCCGATTCATCAGCAGGCACGGTGAGTTTGGGGACTGAAGGTGTCCAGGGATATTCCTATGAAATGAAGTGATGTAGAAGCCTTATCAAAATTGTTCAGAGCAGCTCAGGATGTGCTGCTTGTGGAGAGCAATCCCAGAGATTGCAACGTGAGGAAAATGGCTCTTTTTGGCTGCGCTGCTGGTTATTATGTGTATAATCACTTTTCTAAATAACTGACCTTGCAAATGTTGTTCTCCCCACAATATCCCTTTATTTCTTGCAAAATAAGGTTCCCATCCGTAGATACCACTCATTCCTCACCTCCACTCACCTCCCTGTGAGCCCTGAAGTGTGGCCTTCACCGACAACAATCATCCCCTTCCCAGAGGAGGAGGAATACTCTGAGTATTTGAATGTAGGAGGTCAAGTGGGGAATTAATTGCTCACTTACTGCCACAGGGAGATGATTTATGCCTGTTTTGAAGCTTAACTTCACAGCCTTGAATGCTATACATTTATTGTAATTTGTTTTCATTTTTAATTGATATCATTTGTTAGTAGTGTGTGGAACAGCTGCTAATTAACAGATGTAGAAAGGGGTCGAATTTATCTTCATTACCCACGACACAGGGCCGGGTAGTAGGTCCTGTTTCATTTTCCTTGTTTCATTACCGTTTTAGAAACTATAATCTAGAGTCCCATTCTCATCATCACTTGGAAGATCATCACAAGCGCTTCTTTAAGGCCATACTTGGTGGAAAAAGTCATCGAAACCACGTTGCGGCGGGAACTGAGGCAGGATAAATCGGGGCCACCAGGAGATCACACTTTTCAGGCTCATATCGCTGGGCTAGCTTGGATTTTCCAAGAGATCCGATGGGTTTCTGCACAGAATGTCAGGCCACGGTGTAAAGGCACAGTTGGGAATTAGCAGGAACGTGATTTCGTACACGTGAGGCAGCAGAGCTGGTGCCTGACGCACTTAACACGCAGGGATGGATTTGTTGGAGGTAGCCTGACATTTTCCAAGTGTTTGGCTGCGTAGGTGTGGGATGAATGTGGTTTTCGTGCTTTTTTTTTCTCCTCACTGGGAGTCGTTTCTTCCCCCTGTAGCTGTGGTGTCACAGCCCGCGATGGGATAAAACCCCTCGGAGGATGGAGAGGCCACAGGTGCATCAGGGAGAGTTTATTATTGATAGCCATTGTTATGGATATTTGTGATGGGAAGGGTCTGGAGGGGCCATAGGAGGAGTGGCTGAGGTCACTTGGTTTGTTCAGGTGGAGAAGAGGAGACTGAGGGGGCTGCCAGCTCCGATCTCTGCTCCCTGTGACAGTGACAGCCCCCAGGGAAGGGCTGGAGCTGTGTCAGGGCAGGCTCAGGTTGGATCTCAGGGAAAGGTTCTTCCCCCAGAGGCTGGTTGGGCACTGAACAGGCTCCCCAGGGCAGTGGGCACAGCCCCAAGGCTGCCAGAGCTCCAGGAGGGTTTGGGCAACGCTCCGAGGGACAGGGTGGGATTGTTGGGATGTCTGTGCAGGGCCAGGGGTTGGACTGGATGATCCCTGTGGGTCCCTTCCAGCTCAGGATATTCCATGATTCTGTTATAAATAAAACAAAGACATTGCAGCATTGCTGGGTTCAGAAAGTCCCCAGTGAAAAGGCTGGAGGGGATGGGGAGCTGATTTCCCTTGCTCATGAGTTGATTTGCGGCAGCTGTTGCTCATCTTACAGTGTACCAACAAAACTGTTACACTGGGAGTTTATTGGAATATCCCATCTACTTGACAAAATAATGACATTCCTCATGCTCACTTTTTAGCAGGAATGTCTTTAAGCCTGTCCTAAGCCCTTGGGTGGTGCTGGGGTAATTAAATGCTTCCGTTTCAAGTGGCTGATTTGCTCCAGGCCTTGGCGGAATCGCTCCTGCAAAATAAACACTGTCCTCCTGGCCCTGGCCATATTTTACTCCTGGCTGATACACCATTAGTTTATGACTTTCTCTGGGTTGTAAAATCCTTTGGGGATCCCCCAGGATAAAAGATAATGTGGCTTGTTATAGCCCAGTTACTGCAGTGGTTTAGGAAGAAGGGTTAATGTTTGTTCTGTCTGTGCTGAGATCTGGTTTTACATATTCTGTACATGCCTGGACAGAAGAGAGAAGTGGCTTTTAAATCAGCATCCTTCTGCCTGTGTTCTTATCTCTCCCTTATTGTATGAGCTGTAGCTGCTGAAGGTGCCACCTTATCTAATCTATCTTATCTTGTTGTTATCAGCATCTCTTGCTGTCTTACAGGTTTGCAGCATGAAGGAATATTCCGAGTGTCTGGGTCTCAAGTTGAAGTGAATGACATAAAAAATGCATTTGAGAGAGGTAAGGAAGAGCTATCCCACTGTCTCAGAAATTATTGCCAAATGTATGCATTTGTTTAAATGCTCTGAAATGGCCTGTTTTAAATGCAGTTTGGTCTATTTTATCCCTTTGATTTTTGTATTTCCTAAGTGAGTCTCCCAAACGCCTCCCTAGCGCTCATTAACCTTGAATTCTCAGTTGTTTGGTTTTATGCTTTGTACCTTGTAGAGTGTCTGTATAATAAATATTCTGAATTCAATCTTCTCTCATGTCTGATAGCTTATTGATTGTTTGTAACACTAAAGGACGAGGAGAATTTCATTATTAGGTGTAACTGCAATTTCCTCCCCTCTCCCCCCAGCCCTTTGTGGATAGATTGGCTGCTGGAGGATGAAATTTTTGTGTTTTCCACGTTGTCGAGGCACAGCTTGGCTACATTTATTTTAAATATCAGCGAGGGAGAGAACAAATTTCGAGGCACTGTTAATTTGAAATAGCTTTTAATAGATTTGATTTTCTGCGGGAAGGAGCCGTTCCACACAAAGGCAGGGAGCAGTTGGGAGCCTCCTGACTCATCAGCTCCTTGCTGGGCTGTTTCTCCCTGGCAGAGCAGGTTCAGAAGAGCTGCTCTTCAGGCAGTTCCTGCAGCTCATCTCCCCAGTCCTGCCTGGGTCGCTGGGAACAACAGGCCTTGTGTTAATCCCCCGAATGCATCACCCTCAAAGAACAGAGTCGGTGTGTTCCCGTGCTTGCTGGTGGAAGAGACAAGCAGTAATTAATTAAGCATAGCGAGTTCATTCTGCTTTTGGGAAGAGAGGTGTTTAATGAACAACATGTGTGAAATGGGGTGTGTAATGTCACCTGTCTTCACCTCCACCTACCTGAGAGTTAAAATCCTCGAGAAAAGAGGAAGCAGAAATGTGTTTCATAGTAAGGAAAAAGCTCAGAATCAGACCCTTTTTTATTTAAAGAAATATCAGTCAGCTTGGGAAAATAACCAAATAACCACTTGTTCCAGCACTGACATGCAGAAATACAAAAAGGGAGTTTTTTTCTTTTAGTTCTTCTCGCTTGTCTCTGTAAAGCCAATGATATACAGGACTGCCAAAGTTAACAATAACATCCCTGCATTTTATTACTTCATCCAGAGCCCTTGGTGGCAGTTAATATCAGGGATAATGCTCCAGTTTGGAGTGGCCCATTTATTATCCTGTGTGTTATTAAGATAATAGGCAAGCTTTGGTAATTTCAGTCACATAATGGATATATATAGCTTCAATTTGAGGATTGCCCCATCATTAAATCTAATTATGTCTGATAGGGAGTTTTCCCTAGGGGACAACTCCTTAAGTGGGCATCTTTCCTTGGGTAATACAGACAAACTGTGGCCTATCTACAGCAACAAATTATCCCAGAAATGTTCCCACCCCAGTTCCCCATGTCTGCATCCTCCTGAGCCAGGTGTGGGAGATGCTTCTTGTGCATCCACTGCATCCACCTGAGCTGCAGTTGGGAGTTTGCCTCGTGGAACATCCACCTCCCTGGTGGGTCTGTGATGTTCCCACCTTTCCCAAATACCTGGAGTTGTCACTATTGCTCGAGGAGCTCCAGTGCCACACTGAAATCCATCTGAGAGAAGCTGTCCCAGGTCTCCTGGGATTGCTGTCAGAGCTTCCCATCTCTCTGCCTCACGCTGGTTTGTGGTGCCGTTGGAGTAGGTGGGATTAACATAAATCCTTTTCTCCTGCAGAGGTTCATTGCAGTATTCTGATTTTTTTTTCCTTGCCTGCTTTTCTTTGCTTGTCACGAAGGGGAAGATCCCTTGGCTGGGGACCAGAATGACCACGACATGGATTCAATAGCAGGAGTCCTGAAGCTCTATTTTCGAGGGTTGGAGCACCCACTCTTCCCCAAGGATATCTTCCATGATCTGATTGCCTGTGTCAGTAAGTATATGAAGATCTGAGAAGAAATAGGGTTGATTTTTCTAAAATCCCACTTTTCTTTCCTCCCTTCCTCCTTTTTTTTTTTTTTTTCCTGACTCCAGAATAAGCTTTTTGGGATTGCTTTGGTTGGGCTCGTGTTGCACTGGCATGCTCTGTTAGGCAGTCTGAGCAGTTACCTGGTCACAGCCATCCTTGCTCTGATATGAATGAACAAGGAGAAGGAAATGAACAGATTTTTAAGGTCTGTGTGATGGATTTTTGTGAGGCAGTGGCTTCGTGACAGGATTCTTTTAAAACAGAATAAAGCAGAAACCTTCACTTCTGTGAATTAATCTCGCAGACGTGTCACCAGGAGATGTCAGAAAGGCCCTGCCAGAGGCAGGGATCACCAGCAGGGCTTCCTGCCTTGTCTGCATTCCCTGGATGTGCTGCCACGCTCCTGTGTGCTCTCCTTAGCTGACAAGGTACTACTTCTATCCCCTTTAGCTTCGTAACCACGAGGGACCATCTTCTGACTCCTGTTAGAGAATATCAATCATCAGGGCAGTCACAGCCGAGCTTTTAACATTGCTGTTGGTTTCTAAAGGTGGTTCTGGTAGGCAGAGAGTTGTTTGTGGCTTCTTCCTATGTGAGCAACCTCATCTTAAATGGCCTGGCTCTTTCCATGTCCTCCAGAATTGAAGAATGGTTCCATTGTCCGAGCAGAGAAATGGCCCTTTTGCGGTGGCAGCCTTTGAAGTCAGGCAGAAGATAACTGCCTCTGAAACGGCTCGTGGTTTTCTGCTCCTGATAAATGCATTTTGCAGAGTTGAACCTCGCACTGTGGGAAAAGTAAAAAAATCTGCTTCCAAATAACTTCTTCCCTTTTCTGAGATGATTTATGCTGCCCACTTATTTCTCGGTAGGCCGCTGCACGCAGAGCTTTTTTGCCTCACCCTTTAACTACGTTAATTTTCCTTCGAGTGCTACACAGTTTCTTTTTTTAAAACACCCACCTTTCCAAGCGGGCTTGAATGAGCCATTGTGCCAGAGCTGTCGGAACAGATGACATCCAGTGCTCCCACGCTCGGAAGGAACTCGCAGTGAAGTTTCACGTGTTCGGGGACCTTCACTGTCAAAGGCTTTGCCAGCAGGTTCTGCAGCCTTTGCGTTCCCGAGCAGATCATCCAGAAAACGGGAAAAATTCCTTCCTCCTCCTCCTGCTGTTGCTCTGCTGGACCCAGTGGCAGGCTGTGGGTTTGGTGGGATGATGACTCTGGTGCTCTTTCTTCCTTTCAGCGATGGATAATTTACAGGAGAGAGCTCTGCACGTGCGGAAGGTGCTGCTGAACCTGCCGAAGACCACCCTGATTGTAATGAGATACCTCTTTGCATTCCTCAATCAGTGAGTGTCCTTGGGAGCACCGGGGCTCTGCTGCAGCTCTGGCATTGAACACAGAGGTCACTGAGGTTGGAGAAGGCCTTTAAGATTATGGAGTCCAACCATTCCCCCAGCAGTGCCAAAGCCATCACTAACCCGTGTCCCCAAGGGCCACATCTGCTTGGCTTTTAAATCCCTCCAGGGATGGGGACTCAAGGTCGTGGAATCACAGAATGGTTTGGGTTGGAGGGGACCTTAAAGCCACTGGAGGGACACCTTCCACTAGATCAGGTTGCTCCAAGCCCCGTCCAGCCTGGCCTTGGACACTTCCAGGGATGGGGCAGCCACAGCTTCTCTGGGCAACCTGTGCCAGGGCGTCCCCACCCTCACAGGGAACAATTTCTTCTGAATATCCAATCTAAACCTACTCTGTTTCCACATGGCAGAGGGGATCTGTAGCTCTGGTATTGAGTGTTGGGCTGCAAGTGGGCTCAGAACAGCAATAATGAAGGAATAAAGACAGAGATTAATGTGCTCCCCTTATAACATCAGCACTCAGTCCTTTTCACATAGTCTCGAGCTTTCAAACTCCCTTGTGGTTTCTATTTAATTTCTCTGCAAATGCCATCAGTATCTCATTTTTTACCTGGATCCAGAGCATTCATGTCCCTGAATCAGCTAAAGCTGATCAGCTTTAGACAGCAGAAAGCCCAAAGCAAACCTTCCGAGCTCAGCTGTGTGTTCTGCAGCAGAGGATTATGATGATGATGTTTTCTGCTGTTCACCCTCCTTCCCACTCCTGTTTTTTTTTTTTTTTTTTGCAGTTTATCTCAGTTCAGTGAAGAAAACATGATGGATCCCTACAATTTAGCCATCTGCTTTGGACCAACGCTGATGTCAGTGCCTGAAGGTCACGACCAAGTCTCTTGCCAAGCTCATGTCAATGAATTGATCAAAACCATCATCATCCAACATGAGAACATCTTCCCGGGCCCAAGGGAGCTGGAGGGTCCAGTCTATAGCAGAGGTGGAAGCACAGAGGATTACTGGTATGATGGGTACCACTGAGGAGAAGAGGAATGGGTGGGTGGTTATCTGTGGGTTAGCACGTTACAGTCGTGAGTTCTGCGTTCTCTAATTCAGGATTGCAGCATCTGGCCCAACCTTTCAAAAACCTGTTTTGTGGAAGAGAAGATGGCTCTGATATCTCTGGAGAGCCACTGACTTAAAAGAAATAAGCTGGTATCAAGTAGCTACTCAGTTGTCAAACCCAGCTCACTTATCTTGAAGGGCAAGGTTGTGTGGGGATTTTCTTGGCCATTCTGGTTTGGTAGCTGCCAAAATCAATCTCTTTTTGGTTGTTGGGTTTTTTTTTTCCTCTCCTTCTTCTTTTTCCTCCTGCTTTTGCCTTTCCTTTCTGCCTGTCTGGAGTGCCTTTGCCTCAGACAGGGGGGTCACTTGCAGCTGAACCTCGAAGGCTGTGGCACTGGTATAATTTCCAGGGCAGCGCTGCCGGTGGGGGAGGAGAGAGGCAGGAATGCAAAAATCACCATTTCCATGCAGCCCAAAAGCTCCAGAGGCCCGGCCTCGTGTTCAGTCTGAAGCCACATCTGGAAGCAATTCAGGCAGAGCGGCTCCTGTCATCTGGGGTGGAAGGTTGGGGAGTGGGGGAAGGAAAGGAGGTGTTTTCTTTCCTACTGGCCAAGCTGATCTCTCCCTCTGAAGATGAGGAATGTTAAATTGTGTCCTGCTTCTCCCCCCTCCTCTCCTTCTCTCCCAGGAATGCAAATGATTATTTTCGTGTACTAAAATAAATACTTTTTTTTTTTTTTTTAATGAAGTCACTGTGGTGACAGAGCAAGCCTTGTTCCCCTGGCTTGTTTCAGAGTAGCTGCAGCTATCAGCTCGCTCCTTGTACGTGTGGCAAGGAGAGGCTCCTCTCAACTAACTGCTGTGTGCAGAAGACTTGCCAAAACCTTTTGGAAATTCTCTTTAATTTTACCCTTCGCTCTGATGCTTTTAGCTGATGTTACATGTGAAAGAGCTGTAAGGGGGGAAAAAAACCTCCAACTTGGTAATATTTATGACCTTAAGGAAACACATCAGCTTTGACAGGAGGGGAATAAAAATGTGCAGTGTTGAGTAGCCTCAGTTTGGGTGTCACTGCACAGGAGTGTGGGGGAGGCACGATGGCCTGGAAGGTGATATCAGCTTTATGAAGGCATTTGGTTTTCCTTCCCTGCCCTTCCTAAGCACCCTGACCTGGGACCCTGTTAAGGAGAGAAAGGGGAGAAGCAAGCAGGGGAGGCTGCTGAAAGCCAGGAAGGAGCATCTGGTTCCCATTCCAGCTTTCTCATAGTCCTGGTATTTCCACGGTTGTTCGTTATTGCCCGTAGGCTCCTCACCGTGCAGGCAGCAGGGTGAGTCCTTGGGGTTCAGCTGATTCCTCTTGTGGCTGGGGTGTCCTGGTGCCACTTCAAGGGTCAAGCCCTGTGGGAGCTCCCAGACGGTGTTTTGGAGTGGAATTGCTGGGGCTCAGCACCACAGCCCCCTGCTCTGTGCTCCAGACCTGCACCCTCGCCCAGAGTTGGCAGAGCTGTGAAACAGCCTCCCCTGGGCACAGCAGGGTAGGGCAAGGTTCAAGTTCGTCATAAACTTCGAAATCCTGCCTGTGAGTCAAGCCTGGGCTGTGATGTGTCTGTCTGTCTGTCTGAGACAGCTCAGGGAGAGTCCAGGAGACCCACAAGTGAGGCCGTGGAAATGGCAGGGAAGGAGATGGTATGGATGAATCATGGAATACCCTGAGGTGGGAGGGACCCGCAAGGATCACTGAGTCCAACCCCTGGCCCTGCCCAGGACACCCCAAAATCCCACCCTGTCCCTGAGAGCGTTGTCCAAACCCTCCTGGAACTCTGGCAGCCTTGGGGTCGTGACCAAACCCTGGGGAGCCCGTTCAGTGCCAACCACCCTCTGGGGGAAGAACCTTTCCCTGGGATCCAACCTGACCCTGCCCTAACACAGCTCCAAGTCCTGTCCGTGGTCGCTGAGAGCAGAGATTGTTGCTGCCCCTCCACTGCCCCAAGTGACTCAACTCTCACAGTGTTTTCTCTGCCAGGATTTATTGCTCTCACTTTTGGAGCCCCCAGCAGCCCAGTGCTTCCCACAGCAGCACCCCAGGGCTCACACCCCAAGAGTCAGCAGTAAGGACGGGTTTTTTGGTGGAAAATGCCTGGATAGGAGGAGGCACGTGGCCTTTGTGCAATGTTTGGATCTGTGTGCGACATGACTTCAGAGTCTGTGTGAAACCTTAGCCCTCAATGCTGCCTTCCTTCCTCCTGGGGCCTCCATTTGGCTGTAGATTCTTCTGTAAACTTTATTAAGTAGCACAAAGGCTTTGCAAAGGATGGGAAAGGTTGATTCCAGAGGTACTGACTCAGGAGATGTTGGACAGCTCGGTGTCCCGTGGATTAAGCATAACGAGACACCAGAATTGTTTGAACACTTTACCCCTTCTCCTTTTTCTGTTTTTCTCCTCTTTTTAAAAGAGTGCAGGAGGGGGATTGCCAGGGGGAGAGCACTGTACATCCAGGGTCACTTATTTTAACCACTGCAAGACCAAAATGAGGGATGAAGTTATTCCTATGTGAAAAGAATTAAAAATCACCTTTTAGGGGTTGCATTGGGAGAGGGCAGCAGATGAGTTTTCTGGTGTCTGGTGAGATGAAGAGCAGAGCACTATTTTTTTTATCCCTTTTTTCCCTCCTGAGAGGAGCAGGCAGGGCAGGCAGGCAGGGCTGCCAGCTGGCAGCAGCTCTGCAGAGCTGCTTGGGAGAGGCAATGGATCCTCTTCCAGCTTCCTTTCTGCTCCTGTCCGGAGGGAACTGCTCGTGGAGCTTCTTACAAAAACATAACCTTTGGTTGCCACTTGTTGTCTATTGATCCTTCCAAAGCTTTTCTTCTTGCCAAACATAAATGAGTCCTCTTGGTAGTTTAGGTGCTCTGGAATCTTTATTTACAGGCAATTAATCTGGCCGTGGGAGCTGTTCAGTGAAATGAATGGAACAATTTAAGATGGTGATAAAAGGGATGGAGGGAGATGACAAACACAGGCCTGGAAATATCATTATGAATCGAGAAATAATTTCCCCCAGGAAGTGGCAGCTTTCTCATCAGCCATCTAATGAGCTAATTAGAGCAGTGGAGAATAGAGCTGAGGGAATAATCCTGGCGTGGCAGAAAGGAGCTGGACCCAGCTTGCCCCTGCTGCCTGACTGCTCAGCATCTCCAGAGGTCCAGGTTGGAAGAGCTGAGGACATAAGAAGGGGTAACCTGGATGTTTGGGTTGGTTGATGAAATAAGAATTCAGCTTGATTTTTTGACACAGCGACTTCAGCACACGCAGAAGCGCTGCAGGGTATCACAGCGGAGCTTGAATATTGGCTCCCCACATGGGTGTTCCCAGTTGTATCTGACTGCTGTGATGAGGAAACTCAGTTTCCACCATTCTAAAGCACTTTCCCTGCTTGCTTCTGTTGCAGTGAAAGTCCTCATGGGGAGAGAGCCTCCACAGAAGACTCGGTGCAGGACGTCACGGCCGAACACCACACCAGTGATGACGGTAGGCACAGCCTCTGGGCTGCTGGGTTAACTGGTGCAACCAGCCCTGGGGGGAGGCAGGGAAGGCGGTGCCTTGGAACTGAAGTTTAGAGTTAGCCCTAAAGTGGAGTTTGAATCAGAACAGCCACTCGAAACATCCCGTGCAGCGTTTGATGCCAAGAAGCAGAAAGGTGTAGGATCGACAGTAGAAGGTGGAAGTTGCCTGAGTGTTTTGAAAGTGTCCCTTCTTCTCAGGGGTGTCTTGTGTTAGCAGCAGGCCTGGGCACACTCCAGGCTTGGATTTGGAATCAGGGTGGAAGCACAGAGCCAAAGGCTGGATGTGTTTGATCATGCTCTCCCACTCCCTCTGCGTGTACCAGGCATTTCCCCTGTCGGTAGCTCTGGCAGGGGGGTTGTGAGTTCTCTGAGCCCCAGTGGTTCTGATTTAAGGAAGGGAGCAAAACAAAGTCAAAACCTGTTTGTCTTCCACTCACAGCCAGGTTTTAGGGTAGGGGGTCCTGTGGGCCTCTCTCACTGATAATTTTTGGGTTTCCTTGGGAACCTCTGTGACATTTTTCTGGTCTGATCAGTGAAAAGAGGTGCCAAGGCTGGGAATTTCACGGTATTTCCTAAGGAAAGGTGGCACTGCAGTTGTGAGTGTCTGTTGTTGATACTTCCCAAGCCTCCTCCTGCCATAGGGAACATCCTGTGAGCCCCATCCAGAGCAGAGGAAAGATTAAATTACTGGTGTGAAACGATGCCTGGAACACTGAGCAGCATGGAGAGCAGACTGACCCAACCAGCACAGAATTATGATTTTGTTCTTGCATTTAGACCCTTTGCAGTTGTCTGAATGAGTTCTGTGATGGTTTTACTTGTGACCTCAGTTGTAAAGGTGGAAAATAGTGACCATTCCCTTAAAATCAGGTGTCGCCCTTTTAGAGCTGGTTGGGAATTTGCTCAGCAGCCCTGTCAGGTGCTCCTGTGCTGCCTCTCTGCTTCAGCAGTTGCCTGACAAACCCTTCCCAGGGCATCCCTGTGCCTCCCACTGGTTTCATGGCTCGGTGATCTGAAAGGTCTTTTCCAACCTAAGTGATCCTGTGATATCTCTGGTGTTCACACACCAGTGGTAAAGTAAAGGATGTTCAGAAATTGCTGGGAAATCAGTTCTCCCTCAGCAAGGTCAAGCACTGGCACAGTGATTCCTCACCAAGGTTGCTGGGAGGAAGCCTCTGGGAACGAGACAAGAGTTCGCTCTCTGTCTTGAACAGAGTGTTCTGTCTGACAAGTGTTAGCTCTTCAAAATGCATGAAAATGTGTCCTTTTGGAGTTTGCATCTAAGAGAGAGCAGTTTAATGGCTGTGATGAAGGACAGGCCAACTCATCTCACACGTGCATGAAACCTGGGACTAAAGCCTGCAGGCTCCCACACTGGGGTGTGCACTGGGGCTGTTTCTGGAGGGGATTTTTAGGTCCCTTCTGTGACTGAAGGGGGGACAAGAGTGAGAAATGAGCAAGTGAGAGATCAGAGAAGGACACTCTTCTGCAGCCTCTGGAACTCGACTGCGTGGGGCCCCTGAGCAAGGTAAAACTGGGAGGTGTTTTGGATGGAGTTCCTACATGGAATATTCCATAGGAAGCATTTGGGAGGGAGTTTTTGGCACTGAAGCAGAGGAAGGAGCTGGGGCTGTATCTCTTTGAGGGAGCTGCAGGGTCTGGTTAAGGGTGGACTCTCATGTCCTGACTGAGCTGTGCAGAGTCACACCTTGCTCACACCTGTCAGCAGGGGCAGCACCAGGACCCAGGGATGGGTATTCGTGGGTTTTTATCCCTCCTTCAGTCTTTAGATTCTTTAGCACTTGCTTCTCAAGCTCTTTGGAGAGCCTGGCATTAATCTTCCCAAAGCAAAGCTGTCATCCCAGCCACCCTCACTTGAAGGAAGGAATTTTGGGGTGGGGGGAGAGGTCGTGTTTTGAAGAGCATCCAAGCTGTTCATCAGCCTCACTGGACAAGTGAGAGGGCACCCTGGTTTGAGACAGGTATAAGAGGTCAGAAATGCTGAAAAACAAGCAGATGATATGTTTGTTAAATTACATGTATGAGTGGAAACACTGTAATCTGCTGCTTTCCTGCCCAGGCTCTCAGACTGGCAGGGGAAATTGTTTGGCTTAGCCTTATTGCTCTTTATTCACACAGCTTTCTTGTCTGAAAGTGTAGTAGGAAAAAGCTACTGGAAATTAAAGTCTAAAATCAGTTCTCTGGAGAAGAGCCAGAGTCCTAAAAAGCAAATTGGAAACATAAGAAACCTGAGTGCTGCTCTCATCTGGAACAATAAACACTTCCTAATGAAACAGATGGAATGTACCAAACCACACTCCCATCCCCTTCCTAAATGCAGGGGGACACCAAAAAGCAGCATAATTGGGGTTTTCAGTGTTAGGAAGAAACTGGCTCCAGAGGCAGAACAAGCAAGAGGAAAGAAGGAGCCAAACATGGATCCCCACGTGCTTGGGGGAGCTGAGAGCTGCCAACGTGGGCCAGGCTTTTCCCACCCTTCCCAATCCCTGGCTGGTTGCTGAGGGCTGATAACGGGATTTTGTGTGAGGCTGACCACAGGCCTACCTGAAGTGTGTGGTTCAGAGAATTCTGAGCTGTTGGGTTTAGTAAAGGAGGAATTAATTACTGTTTGGGGGGTGGATCTGACAGGTCCTGTTGCCATTTGCCCTCAGTCCTCGGTCCCTTTGTGCTGAGTAACTCAGATGCTGGTGGGGCTTTTTGGGATGAGATGCTTCTGCTCTGCTCCCTCAGCTTGGTTGATGAGCTTCAGCTCCCTCAGATGGATTTACACCATGTATTTTATCAATCCTTGCCCGCCTGTGAGCAGCCATGGAGTCCCAGTTCTTGAGTGTCTGCTCTCCCAAGGAATAACTGTAAAAGCTGTGGCTCATGTTTGGCCTTCCAGTGGTTTTTTAGCTGGCTCTTGCACTGTAGAAGCTTCCTGTGATGCAGGGTTGATCTCTGTATGGAATAGCAGATCTTCCCTTGTCCAGGAAGAGGAAGCACAAATCTCTCTTGCCAGGAAAGAACTCAATTTCCATGGACTGCTTGGCTGTGTTAAAGCTCCTTTAAAGAAATGAAAGAAGTCCACTGGGGCTGTGTGGTTGAGCTCATCCCCATTCCCCTGATTCCTCCCTAGAATTGGGAGCTGGCTTAATGTATGTTTAGATTCAACCAGTGTCAGATTTTTCCAAGTCTTAAAAATAATCCACGTGAATTTCACATTGATCTTCCTGAGTGTCTAAATGCCCTTATTGTCCCTCTGCATAATACCAGAGTCCTGCAGGGACCTGGATCAGTGGCTGGTTGCAGACAGGGCAGGGCTGGAGCTCTCGTGGGAGCTTTGCAGGCAGGTTTGGAGCCCGTTGTGCAGCTCCAGGCGTGACCCCGCTGTGCTCGGAGCATCCCAGCTGGATGGAGCTGGGAAGCAGCCCCGGCCCCCCATCACTGCAGAGAGCACAGCAGTGGAGGCACTGGATGTTTTCCTGAGCTTCCATGGCAGTTGGATGAATAGCAAGGCCTCCCACGGTGCCAGAATCCGGTCTCCTGGGTCAGGTGAACCTCACAGGCAGCAGAGATTTCCCTCTCAATAGAAGCTTTATTTCTGAAGCAGCTTGGAATCGAGAGGATGTTTCCCTCCCCAAATGCTAATAACAACTCCTGCCTGCCTGGGAGGTTCAGTTTAGCTGCCTTGAAGGCAGTGTACCCTAGGCAGAGTGTTGTCTGGGACACACCTGGTTGCTACCCAGCTTAGAAATGCTTTTTTGGTTTAAGAAGATGCTAATTTTGCCACTGCCACTTCCAGCCTTGTAGGCTTGAATCGCTGGGAGTGGGTTTATGACTCGGAAAACATGAATGGAGAGATGAGGCAAATGCTGAAAGCGCAACATCTGCAAGTTATAGGGGGGTTCCCCTCTGAATTTTGCTACTTCAAAAGACCACAGCCTTGAGAGGCAACACTTCATCCTCCTCACGCTCTCGCCTGTGTTCTATGGGTTTAAACAGCTGAACACCGAATAAGCCCAAAGGTTTAGTGAATTGTTGTTTATTCCCTTCTGTCTCCTAGAGTGTGAGCCCATAGAAGCAATAGCAAAGTTTGACTACCTTGGCAGGACAGCACGAGAGCTGTCCTTCAAGAAAGGAGCCTCCCTCCTGCTCTACCAGCGGGCCTCGGATGACTGGTGGGAGGGACGGCACAACGGCATCGACGGCCTCATCCCCCACCAGTACATCGTCGTGCAGGACACGTATGTGACGCCCTGACCTTGCCCAGAACTCGGGGGGGGGAAGGGGGGTGTTCGTGGCAAGGTGTTGGCACCAGGTGGGGGAAAGTTCCTCCTTCAGCCTCCCCTGCGGGAAGGGGAGTGGGCAGAGCTCTGGGAGGTGTCGGTGTGTGTGGAGGTGTCATGTTGGGATGGTGCTGGGTGCCTGTTAAAGATGCAGAGGCTGGGATCTGCAGGCTGGAGGGGGACTTTTCAAGGGGGAATGGCCTTAAGCTGCAGGAGGGCAGGTTTAGGTTGGATATCAAGAGAAAATTGTTCCCTGGGAGGGTCGGGGAGGCCCTGGCTCAGGTTGCCCAGAGAAGCTGTGGCTGCCCCATCCCTGGGAGTGTCCAAGGCCAGGTTGGACGGGGCTTGGAGCAACCTGGGCCAGTGGAAGGTGTCCCTGCCCATGGCAGGGGACTGGAACTGGATGATCTTTAAGATCCCTTCCAGAAAACCGTTCTATGATTTGCAAGATATCTAATGATTCTTAAGAGAAAGACACCAGCACTGTGCTGCTGTCCTGTGTGTGTGTTTTCATACACAGTGCTGCGTTTGAAACTCAGGGCTGTTGGTCCTGTTTTTGGTTGTGATGTGCTTCCCTCCTCCTTCCTAGTGAGGATGGAATCTCAGAAAGGTCCAGCCCGAAGTCTGAAATAGAAATAAATTCTGAGCCACCGGAAGAAAAAGTGACAGCCAGAGCTGGCGCCAGCTGCCCGAGCGGGGGGCACGTCGCAGATATTTACCTTGCAAACATCAACAAGTAAGGACAGCCTTGCATTATTTTCCTGAACTGTGAAGAGCTTGGTGATAAGCCCAGTAAAATAGTCCCTTCCCCTGACAAAGGTTCATTAACGAGCACTGCCACCATTCTTCTCTGCTTCCCCCCTCTTCTAACTCGCTCGCGTTTTGCTGCCCTGTCTCTGTCACCAGTGTGGCCAATGCTCATTTAAAACCCCCCTGGCTGCTCTTCCCTATCCCCAAGGTGCCATCTGTTCCTGTTTTCCCAAATATGCCCTATTTTACAAGCTAAGCAGAGAAAGGGAGGGGAATGGTGGAAGGAGATCTCGTATCGTGTGTCCCCATTCGTTGTTGTGTCCTGTGACCCCGTTGTGTCTTGTCCACATTTAACACCTTTTGTTTGATGGGGTGGGGGGACAGTTCCTTCAGGAACTGGTGTCCCATTTTATGATAAATGCCATTCCTGAAGTCCCACCATCTGGCATTGCCTGTAACACTCTCTTTGTTTCTCCAGCACTTCTCACCTCAGGTTACTAACCATATGCTTGCAGTGAAACAGCACAACCCCCTGTTGCTCTAACCTTACCTTCTCTACCAGAAATGGTTGCTTTAGCCAACACTCAACATAGTAAAAAGCTGAAAAAACTCAAACCAGTAACAGACTAAATTTCATGATCTGTTATTTCATTTTTCTGGAGCAGACTCATCTTTCTGATTATTTCCTTAGTATTAAAACCCCCACGTCTCCACTGTGCAGTGAAGGTATTATGTGATAATTGCAGTTTGATGGGAGGGGATATTCTTAACCTTCAGTTAATTTAACAGAATGTAGTCTATAAAGGCATTAACAGAAATGCATCCTTTTAAAAGGTTTGGACCTGCTTATGTCCTCGAGAGCCTGGTCCTTAGTTATGGGATTCAGCAGAGCTCCACTGATATCTTTGAAGCCATGTTAATCTGCATCAGCTTGGGATCTGGGCTTTCTTTTATGATATTTATTGTCTGAGCCACTGAAGTAGCCATTCTGCCAGTTATGGAGAGATTTGTGTAATAACAGACCTGTGTTGGAGCTTCACCATCTGCTGGCTTTGGTAGTGTTGTGTGTAGTGTTTTTAAGAGGCCTGGGTAATGTCCACTCCAGTTGTTGTTTTTTTTTTTCCCCTTTACTAGGGAGCCTGATATTTAGCAACAGTAGCATAAGACTCATTTTGTTGTTTTTTCTTTAGGAATGAATCTTCTGACCTATGTGTGAACAGACTTGAGCAAAATTAAATCAGATGGTTTCGCAATGACAGTTGTGCCACCCACTGAATTATTATTTGGATGCCAAAATCCTACTGGAGTTAACACTTTCTTGCAGTTATTCATGGGGCTGGTGCTATATATAAATGGATCCTTCCCTGTATAATGGATGCCAAGCTTCAGACCTATGGCATAAAGTATTCTGCTGCATTGGCCTTCCTATGATTTGAGAGGAATCGTGCTGTCAGACCGCAAGGTGCTGGGGTAGAAACTAAATTCTTTGGAGCAGTTCATCCATTTGACATCATCTTTTGGTTTATCTGTAGCCCTGCATAGAAAAGTGCCTTGTGGTCCTGCCAGAGCCATGAAAAAGAACCACCTCTTACCACCAGCAAACATTGGAAACGATCATTAACCCCAAAGTGGGGGTTCTTTGCTTGCTGATCTCTGAAAATAATAACTTGATGCCTTGGGCCAGGAGCTTAGTAGACTTATACTGTGTCCTCCAGTCAAAAATTGTAGCTCTGCTCTTCGAATGTAATAAAAACACATCATCAAAACCTGTTGAAGGCACAGAGGGTTTTTTTTTTGTCTTCAAATACAAATTCTTTTCCTCTTGACCAAGTTAATCACGTTCCATCCAAGTATTTCTGTTTTTGCTCTGAATTTGCACAGCTGCCAGAACTCAGCCTTGTTGTTAGAAGTGTTGAACTGGAACGATTTATAATTTTCCTGTATCCGCAACCACTCCTAAAATCCTGGGTGTGTTTGTAATCTGGGTATCTTTTATGTCTCTTCCCATTGTCCTCTGTGTTGGTTTGGGGGGGGGATATCTTCAAATGACAGCTGGTTGTGCTTGTACCTGCTTGTATTGACTTGTTTTGCTTTTGTGACTGAAGGCAAAGAAAGAAACCAGAGTCAGGCAGCATCAGAAGAGCCTTCCGTCAAAGTGACAGCCATGGACTAGGTAGCTCACTGGCAGAACCAGCCTCCCCCGGAGCCATAGCCGGTTCCAGACCCTCATCTCAGCCCATTATGAGCCAAAGTCTTCCCAAGGAGGTTCCAGATAAGTGCTCCATCAGTGGCCACGGCAGCCTCAATTCCATCAGCCGACACTCGTCGCTGAAGAACAGGATCGACAGCCCCCAGATCCGGAAAACTGTCACAGCAGGGAGGTCCAAGAGCTTCAACAACCACCGGCCCATGGACCCTGAGGTCATTGCACAGGTAAGGAGGAGTGTCTGGCCCTCAAGGCTCGGCTTGGAAACTTGAAGGATGTTTTAATGAGGTGTTTTAATGTGAAGTCTGATTTAATCTCGTGTCCGTTCCCTTCTGGGAGATGGACCATCTCTCTGATGATGGGAGACTGCAGGGCCTGGTTAGTCTGGAGAAGAGAAGACTGAGAAGGTATCTTACCAATCCATGCAAATAACTCCAAGGGGTATCAGGGGATGGTACCAGACTCTTTTCAGTGGTGCCCAGCGACAGGACAAGGAGCACAACAAGTTCCACCTCAACATGAGGAAGAACGTTTTCCCTGGAGGGTGGCAGAGCTCTGGAACAGCTGCCCAGGGAGGGTGTGGAGTGTCCCTCTGTGGAGACATTCCAAACCCATCCTGTATCACCTGCTCCAGGTGACCCTGCCTTGGCAGAGGGGCTGGACTGGGTGATCTCCAGAGGGCCCTTCCTACCCCAACTACTCTGTGATTCTCTCAATGCAATATTAACTTACAGCACAGCTTGACTCTGCTCTTTCATCCTTGCTTTGTGAAAAACTCTGAGGCTGCTTTCAGGAGGGAATATAAACAGTCAGGTCCTTCCTCCATAAAAACTTGGCCCTGTTCATTACTCAGAATTTAATTTCAACAATAAAAAGTCCCCTTTCAGAGAGTGACACAGATTTCAAAGCTGTCAGCAAGGAATTAAACAATCATAACTCCAAGACCCGAGAAAAACGAAGTATTTAGTGTCGACTTAACATTCTCCTGTCAGTTGTGCAGACTCGCCTGTGGTGAGACATTGGAAGCACATGGAGCAGCACAGCCAAAATAAAAGCAGGCTGCTGACTCCTTCAGTGCTCCAATGGCATCTTTATACGCTCACAGGCTTCAGAGACTAGCTTTGAACATAATCCTGCTGGTTTTCATGAGCTGTTTATTCAGGCAAGTGCCTTGAAGTGAAGGGCAGGCTACAAAAAAAAAAAAGAAAATATGTAAATGTTACAAATTTCCCTCTTCCATGAAGGATCTTCCCAGGTGGATGTGCCTGCACTTGCACATTGCCTGTACCAGCTGTTTGCAGTATGGGATGGATGCATCTGTCTAAAGCCAAGGAATGCTCCAGGCTCGGATTACAAAGCCAGCCCTGGGAGACCTGACTGCTCTGCCTGGTTCAGGACTCCGGAGGTTTCTAAGGAGCTGGGGGAAAAATATGTGAAAATTAAACGTAATTTTTGTTGACAAAACAGCAACTCCAAATAGCAAATAAATCCAAATTGAAACCTGATGGGCATTCTGATGGAAGGGTGTATTTTGCTGTTATGAGTATCTTTAGCCCATTTGTTGCAGTGGAATTATAAAATACAGCCCCTGCTGCCTTCATATTTCCCTGTCCTTCCAAGGCTTTGGTTGATATAAATCAGATTCTTTGTTTTATCAATTAGGATCTCCTCTCCCTGCCAGAACATACACTCCATTGTTTCACTGGAGAAGAGTCTGGGGAGAAAAAGGAACGAGGAGGGGGAAATATATAAAAAAGAGGAGGGAGAAAAAAATCCCACTGTGTTAAATCAGCATTTCTTTCTGCCTTTTGACATCTTTTCAGACACCATCTAATAACCATTGTGCATCTGACATATTCCCCCAAATTCATAACTGAAATCTGCCTGGCCTCAGGACAGACTGGGAGGTGTCAGATTACTGTCTCTGCTTTCTTCCACCATTCCTTGACTGATTTACCTTCCCCACCCCCTGAAAAACCTCTTGAGGAAGCTGAAAAGCTGTGGCCAAAGTGTGAGTCACAGCAAGGCTGAGCTCTCCTGCTCCCCAGGGAATTCTGTGGGTTCACCAGTGTAGGTCCTGCTCCAGCTGAGACAAAACCCCCACGTTTTTATCTCCAAATTCTCTGTTTATTTGTTTGTTAATAACTGTAATATTTTGTAAGAGGAAGGAGAAGCGCCAGCTTGAATTTCTGTACACGTTTCTGGTATCTTCTGTGTGTTCTAAAATGCTAAAATTTTGAGTCCTGTGAAATACCTTTCTGGGAACAGCTCAGACAGCAGGAAAACCAGTGAGGCAGCAAGAGCACACGAGGATTTCAGCATCCAGTGTGTGACCCATCAGGGAGTGTCAAAACCATCAAGCCTTCAGCAATTTGCTCTCCTGAACTTCGTGTGCCAAATAAAGTGCCAGAGTGGGTGCTAATGCTTTGAATCCAGTGGGTTTCTATTCATTGCTGCATTTGGGGATTTTATTCATTTTTGAAACCCAAGCAGCAGTAAAGGACCAGATCAGCATCGAGGCAGTGCTGGCAATTATTTTCCTCCCTATTGATGGAAAAAAATTAGTGCTTATTGACTGCAGGATGTGATGCTGCACAGTTGGGCACAGGTTTCACTCTGACACCTCAAGGTCCTTCACCCAGGGTCAATTTGAGTGTTGGTGTTCACAGAATGGAAATAAATAGGTCATTTTCAAAGTCTTTTATTTATATAAATACACATATATACATATATAAATAAATATGTATGGTATAATATATTATAAATATATATTCATATAATTATATCTATTGATATATCTATATACCATATATTTATATAGATATAATTTATATAATAATTATTGTACATAATCTGTAGTAGTTGTCATTTATTATATATTCTATATTGTATGCTTAATATTTATTTTTATATAATAATATATCTATATTATGTATAGGTATATAGAGACATTTATACCTCTGTATATTTTATCTGTATTTATACTTTCGTATCTATATTTGTATTTATATATTTATATATTTATATATGCATTTATGTATTTATATTTATATTTGTATTTATATATTTATACCTATATTTTATATTTAAATAACATATATTTTATATATTTTTCTATATAGTCTTTATAGATATGTATCAATCAGTATTTTCATGTCTGGGCTGTGTTCACTGGGTCTCTCCTCTGTGTTTGCAGGACATTGAAGCCACAATGAACTCTGCTCTGAACGAGCTGCGGGAGCTGGAGAGGCAGAGCAGCGTCAAGCACACGCCAGACGTTGTCCTGGACACCCTGGAGCCCTTGAAAACGTCCCCCGTGGTGGCCCCCACCTCGGAACCCTCCAGCCCTCTGCACACCCAGCTCCTCAAGGACTCTGAGCCGCCTTTCCAGCGCAGCGCCAGCACGGCCGGGGACATTCCGTGCACCTTCCGGCCCGTCAAGTCCGTCAAAATGGCCACCCAGGTGAAACCTCCGGCAACTCGCCCAAAACCCGCCGTTTTCCCCAAAACCAACGCCACGAGCCCCGGCGTGGCCTCCTCTGCGTCCCAGCAGCCCAGCGACAAGTCCTGTACTGTGTGACGAACTCGATGCTGCTCCGCGGAGACACCTCTTACTGCTTCGGGTGGAGAGACTCTGTTAAAGACATTAAAATTCCTTAATTTAAGTGATTTTATTCCCCCCCCCCCCCCAACTGAAGGTTAGTTGTGAACTGCTGCTCGCTGCCGGGAGCTCTTCCCTAGAGGAAGGGAGCGAGCTGAGCAGTAACAACCTCGTCCCACGTCACTGGTGTGTGTGTGTGAGGCAAAACAGTTCCTGCCACGCTCGGGGAGATCCGGAATCGGGTCACTGTGAAGCTGAGCAGGAAAACACACACAGAGGGATGAGCTGGATCTTGGGTTTCTCCTTGATGCCCCGTCCAAGCGTTTGGGCACTGAAAGAAACGCTTAGTGGCATCCTGTTTTGGATACTGGTGTAGTGACTTGTATATTTCTGTGTTTCATTTATCACAGGGAAACAATAGGATAGATCTTTAGTCTCTTGCATGTTTTGGTGCCACTGGTTACGTGGAGCTTGGACATGCCTGTTTCTTGTGCATTATTATTATTATTATTCCGTCGCCCGCTGGTGCCACGGTGGTTTAAGGGTCTGTCTCGACTTCCATCACATCCTCTGGTTCTGTTTGTTTGCTCCCCTCTCCTCCCCCTCCCCTGGGGCCAAAGCCCTTGGCCATCCAGCCTCATGCTTTAGTTGACACTTGTCATGAAAAGTAGTTTACTCTGGAACACTCTTAGATTTTGTGGAGTTCTACGTAATATGTGTCTGTGCAAATATAAACAAACGTGCTCCTGGGGTTTAGGAGCGCAACAAAGAGCCCAGTTGTTGCTTATGGACAATCGAGCTGGTTTCCCTCCCTTGGCTCTCCCATATTTAAAAACAGCTTTATTGTTTCAATGTAATTTCCAGCCCGTGGGCTCTGATGTGGTGTGTGGTCTCGGGAGACTGAATGTAAAAAAAAAACAAGTTAATTTGGAAGACTGAAGCGTCCTCTGACGGGAGTTCCACTTCCGAACGCACACATCCTTGGTTTGATCACACGTCAGGATGGATCCTCACCAAAAATCCCGGTGACGAGCACTGTAAAAAAAAAAAACGAAACTTTGATCAGAAGTTCTCAAACTTCCTACCTTCTCCCTCTTTCTGGCTGCAAACGCTTCGGTCGGTGGCCGTGACCGCTGTGACTCGATTTAGGGATCTCTGCTCTTATAGAGCAGTGCAGGAAACGCTGCTGGGGACAGCGATGTGACAGCACGTGGCTGCTGGAGTGGCTTTCCCTGCGTGTCCCTCGGCGTGGCTCCTCCACGGGACTCAGACATGTGAATGGATTCATAGTATTTGTATTTATCTGTAGGCAGCGAACGCTCCAGCTGCCCGCAGGCTGCAAGGACTCTTTTGTACTCCCCTGGGAATCCTCCACAATGCTCACATTTATTTTATTTAATAGTAATAATTAAAAAAAAAAAAAAAAAAAAAAAAAAAAAAAAAAAAAAAAA